TGAGGTTTGCTTATCCTGGATAAGTATAGTCTATATCCGTACCAAATAACACACCCAGTTTCATCCCAGTGTTCCTTGGTATACACACAGGCATACCTATCCTGTGAGCAAGTATAACTTACATGCACACCGGTAACAGATTTTATCTCGTGCACCCCATGGCATACATGTAGGTATATTCACCCACTTGAGATGGTAGACATTCACCACTTCCTTGGAAACGTATTTTCTAGAATGACTGTCTCTTACACATTACATGCATATCATTCAGACCATGGCCACCGTCCCAGTACTTCCTGAAACACACATAAGCCTAAGCATTCCCTCAGCGGAGGTTATTGGTCGCCAATCGCTAGTATTTGCTACCAAATCTTTTTATTGTGACTTCAACCTGATAGACTAGGTGGTTGATTTTATTAGACAGAAATATTAGACAGAAATATTTTAGCTAAAATTTTCTTTGTATGGCACCACACTCACACCCTTCGCATATACTTATATACATGAATTACATAGACCCAAGGACTTCTGCAGTTCTTATACATAAGTAAAGATATCAGATGAACCGATGCCATTTGGTGAGCCTCGGATTAGAACCCGAGTTCATAAAGGATACAACAGAGTAGGTGATCAGTCTGATCTCCGTCGACCGCCTAAGTTGGCTAGCAAAGTTTCCCCTACTATCCAGCAACGTCGGATTTTGCTGCCACTCCCAAGAATTTGAAATGTAATTCATATCTGAACGGATTCCAACTTAATTTTATCTTTTATGTGAACATTATACAGAATAAAATTGCAGAGTTCTAGAAATGGTTGGACATATACGTTATACATTGGATTACATGAGTCACTGTTATAAGATTACAAAGTATGCAACTCAGAGGTTGACAAGGCTTAGAAGACTGTTTATTGATATATTCTGAGAAGGAAAAACAGGAGAAATATTTAATCAAAATTTCGTACAATATGTATGTGTATTATTGCAAATAAATCATTTATACTTATTGAAATCGACTTTCTCTTCTCATTGCATCAATGAAAAACATAAAAATGGCACTAAAGTTTCGCATAAAACTGATTTCTATCCAATGATTTTCACAAATATATTTAATCGAATTGAAAGCTTTAAAGAGGTTTTATGGCCTAATTAAATAAGTAGACCAGTTAATTTCCAACTACGTCAATAATAAAAACAAGCATATATGTCAGTCATTATCCAACCGTAATAAAATGTATATACTTGGATTTTGTTGTTCTATACGGACTCATACTTGTATTGGTGATCGTTTCTATTTCATCTGTGATATTATTACTTGTACAAGATTTATCATTTATTGGTTATTCTAATGAGGAAATGGCTTTATAAAAAAAGTGTCATTTGTACTTATGTTATTTGTTTAAAAAGTGAGTTGAAGTTAAATTTACAAATAGTCAAAAGATGAGAAGATTCGATTTCAATCAACTAGAGACTAATTTACATCAATCACTGAACCATATCTCATTTTCCATCATAGTGTACCTAGTCGTTTAAACATTTTAGTAGTCAGTATATAAAGAATACTTCAATTAATCTGTCAGTGAAAATGATGAATAAAGTACAATGAGAGAATTAAACTGAACAGTAATTCGTTTTGTTTATATCCCTGAACATTTTACAGATAATGAGTTAAATCAATGTAGTTGCCTGAAATCGATAACTTTTGAATTACTGAAGTAAATAGTTAAAATCTTCTAAATCGATGAATTTCAATGAAAAAAGGAATATGAAACTTAAAAGAATAAGGGTGCATTACTTGAAAAGACTTGATTAATAGACTGTTTTAATTAAGAATTTATCACAAAAGATTTTAATAATGTGAAAAAGACAAAATACAACAGTGTGTGCAACTGGATTCGATGAGTAATGCCGAAAAAAATTGGTGAATTTAAATGCTTAAACGCAGTACATTTCAGCTTTTCGTATGGATTCAAACTAATGTATTAAATGGTATGCATAGTTACTGAATGTTTATAGATTGTGATTTAAGCTAGTTAAGTCATGGAGTTTAGTTTCTCTGCAACATGCAACTGAAGTAATCAATACCGTGTAATCGAGTAGTGTACGCGAAACATTGAAATTATTCAAATTGTTTTTTGTGTTTGAATTCAGTATCTTACAGATTATTAGATAAGTAAACAAGGACATAGAATTTTACGAATTAATAATGAGAACTGCTTAACTCATCATTAAATTATGAAGACTAAAGAAAACCAATGCGAGTGTACAGTGTTCGGTAATATTCAACTGTTAATTAAGATTAACAGTATAGGGTTGTGGCGATTATTAAGTTTTTGGTTGAGATCATGAACCGATCGATGTTGGACCACTGTGGAAAACCTAGAAGCATTGGACGGCCGTTTCGTTCTATTGCGGGACTCCTCAGAAGTGCGCATCCACGATCCCGCTCGCGGGATTCCAACCCAGGATCTTCAGTCTCGCGCCCAAACGCCTAACCTCTCGGAGTCCTAATGAGAAGCCATGACCGGTGGAGCTAATCCGTGTCGGGTAGAGAGAGGTATCTACATATCCACAATGGGAGATGGTCGCGCAATTTCGCGGACTGATTAAGGTCAGACATTACCACATTGAATGCTGACTCAGTGGTTTAAGGGTTAAGCGTTTGCGCGCGGGATCGTGGATGCGCACTGCCGAGGAGTCCCACAATAGGACAAAACGGCAGTTCAATGCCTCCAGGTTTCCAATGGTAGTCTGACATCAATCAGTTCATGATCTCAACCAAAAAAATAATATTAAATCAAACAGCGAATGAGAAAGAGTGAATAAGAATACCTTGAAGAAATTCCAAAAAGAATATTTCAGTAATATACAACACTACAAGTAGACAATACAATAAACAAAGAAGACATATTTTGGTGTTTTGTTGTCTGAGCTGGATGGTTTGGTCGTGGAGAAGACATAATTTCGGTAGAACAACTTATCTGACTAATCAACATTTCAAACCAAAAAAATAATTGAATATACCACCATAATTTTCATTTTTATATCCTTTACTTCGTAATTATTTTCATAAATATCATCCATAGGGATACGATGTTCAGTGTTACAATTATATACATTAAAATACTAAAAATATATAAAATACAGGTGAATACTCTCTTTCTGCACTGAATTTTATTATGAATCTTTATATTTATAATAAACTAATTAACCGTTATTAATCATAATATTCAAAACTGGAGGTTTGTTTAATTCACATTTGAAAGATTGAACTTTGATCAATATAGGTATCATTAACAAGGTTTGATTTGATAATTTCAAATAAACTGAGCATTGGGTAAATTGTTATAAACAAAATTAATATATTTGCAATATCCTAATGAATAGAAAAATCAAATTTTCCAACGTTTTGTGGCTCAGTGTAAGTCAATTTTTCAGGGAATAAATAACCAAATCAAAATTAATTCAAGTTTAAATAGTACAAAGGAACAACACAAGAATATTATGTATGACCAATCAAAAAAACAGATCTGAACAAATCAATGCCATTTCGGTCAAGGTTTGAGTATGTAGGTTTTCTGTAGATGGATAGATTTAGAATTCCATTTAGATTTCTTCTCACTAAGTAGTCTAAAAACAGTAGCTCACCATGTTCATTTTCATTCTCGTTTGTATGTTTGATGTGCTACGAAAGTGTATTAGACCGTCTCGAAAAAGATATTAAATAAGTCTTTCTTTTTTTCATAAAAAAGTTGTCATCTACGTATCTAAGCCAAATTCGTGGTTTAATGTCATTGGTGAAGATAATCCACTCTATGTGTACCATAAGCAGGTTGACTATAATAATTTTCGAAATTGGAGGTTTGTTAAATTTCAGTGGTTGAGATCATGGGTCAGTTAAAGCTAGATCAACATGGAAGTATTGAACAGCCGTGTTGTCCTAGTGCGAGACTCATCAGCACTGCACATAAACGATCACACCTCCTCCCGCCAGATTCGAACGCAGGACCCATCAGTTTGGCGTACGAGCGCTTAACCACTAGATCATTGAGTCGGTCAGCATTCAATGGTGTCAACGATGTCTAACTTCAACTAATCCACAAAATTAAGTGACACATCCACCATTGTCTTCAATCAGTTACTATCTCACAACAGATCCAGTTGAACTCCACTAGTCACTGCTTCTAACTGGAACTCCACGAAATATCTCTTGAAGCCAATCACTAATGAGCATATGTTGATTAATATGAGGATGTGCTTTTTGTAGATGTTAGAGTAATTTTAATAGTTGAGATCATGAGTCAATCGAAGGTAGACCACCACGTAAAACCTGGAAGCATTGGACGACTGTTTCGTCCTATTGTGAGACTCATCAACAGTGCTCATTCACGATCCCACCCCCGTGAGATTCGAATCCATTTAAAACATTAAACTTTGGTCAATAAAATTTATTTTAATGTTTTAAATCATTTAAATATATCATTATTACAGATTATACTATATGAATATAATTATAATTACCGAATTTTGTTTAAATTAATTAAGAATATTAAATCATACCAAAAATATTTTAATAAAAACGACTCATACTTGATGAGACTTAAATACAAGTGTTTTATAAAATGTTATTTAAGAATAATGAAAATAAGGAAAGTATCCTATTGTATTTTAATGAGAGTGGAGTTCTTACTCTCTTTAAGATAATAAATGGGATCTATGTGTATGAAACTTATTGTATTGTATGTGAAATAAAATGAAGATGTTGTTATTTTGAAAGAAAAAAAGAGATAGAAAATGTTCATTAAAACAATAGCATTTCTTAAGAAGTATACACTTGTACTAATAGTAAATTAATATTATATTAAGTAGTATATAATTCAAAAAGAAAAAAAGCAAGAAGAACAAAAAGAAAAACACAGAAAGAAGTAAAAAAAATACAGAACATAATAGTTAATCATACTATGTTTAAGTGTAATTAAGATTTTTGTTAATCATTTTAAATATGACAAGTATTTGTACAGTTACTAAGTAATATTTCAATTCTACTAGTTACAAGTATAATTGAAAATGATGATAATAGTGATAATGATGATGATGTTACAAGTTATACATCATCGAATAATTCATCGGAAACAAAATTAATCAAATCATCACAACATAGAACAAAATCTCGTAGACCAATTAGCGCTGGTACACGAAGAGGTATCAATGATGATAAAAGTAATAGATCAAAACAATCAGTAATGAATAATAACAATCAAATATCATCATTAATGAATAGAAGACAATATATTGTTAAGCCAATAGTTGGCACAAATAACATTAGGAATTATTATCAAAATGATTATTATCTATATTCGGATAGTTATGAAAATGATCATAATGGTACAATAAATGATACAGTAATGGGTAAAAAACGTCTTATCACTACATTACAACATGCTAATGAAACAGATAATTATGTACCAAAAGCTCAAGAAGATAGTTTTCTAGATAGATCATTTTCTATTATAAATGAAAAGAATCAGTTGAATAATTCAAATGGGTTGATTTCATCAGATCAAGAAAACGGTAAGAGGATGTTGATGATGTTGATGATGATGATGATGATGATGATGTAATATTATGTAATAAAAACAATTACATAATAATTTAATTTCTATTTAATTCATATTCAATTAATTTATATCTTAACCATATAAATATAATAATAACTGGTATATTTAATATCACATCAAATATAAATATAAATGATGAATAATATAATAAAGTTTTATTATATATAAATATAAATAAGAATCCACCAATAAAATTAGCTATAATTTCTATTATAGATATAATTGTCAAACTTATATTTAATTCATCATTACATATTACTAATTTACTTATTAATGATTTTGTACAAGTTGTTATATAACATGCTGGTGAACCAATTATAGCACTTAAAAAGATCAATATTTTATGATGTAATAAACTTAAAATTAATAAACGTATCATTTCAGTAAATAAACCAATAATAATTAATGTTGTATCACGTATAAGAAATTTATTCTCTATGATTGGTAATAATATAATTAATTGTATAAACATTAAACTATAATAACATGTTATGTAATATGCATATAATTCAGTATTCCATAATAAATTTGATTGATTCATTAAATATAATAAGGTAACATCTTGTTCACCAGATTTAGTTATTTGTTTTAATAATATTGTACTTAATAAGGTTAATAAGTAAATATGCTTATTATTATTATTATCAGTAGTAGTAGTAGTACGTTTAGAAAATAGAAATTTATAAGAAGATTTTAATATAAATAAAGGTTTTAATAAGTAAGAAATTATATCTTGGCAATATGTTTTATGTTCCTCGTGTGTATATGAGTTCGTATGTCTGGTATTATTATTATTATTATTATTATTATTAGTAGTAGTAGTAGCAGTAAGGTTATCATTCAAATCCCTCTGTTCAACATGTTGTTCATCAGATTGATTAATCACTACTTCTACTGAATGTGTTGTTGTTGATGGTGATGATGATGATGAAGAATTCAACAAACATTTTTTAGAATTTTTTACCAAAAATAATAAAATGATTATGATTAATAAATTACCAATCATGACAAATATAATCATTTCAAAATAATTTAAAAATCGATAAAACATACCAAGTAATAATGCACCAATTGCTAAACCAAAAAAATTTACACCTAATAAACGTCCAATTATATTTGTACACTTTTTTTTATTACTATTTTCTGTTATATAACTATGAACACATAAATTGATTGCATTACTTTTTCCACATAATCCATATAGTGTACCACCAATTAAAATAAATATCATTGAATTTGTATTAATTTTAAATTTGGTAATAAATTAATTATAAATAATATACATGATAGAATACATCCTAAACATGGTATAATCATAATATAATTTTGACTTATTCTATTCAATAATAAACCATAAATAAAACATATTAACATAGCTGGTATATTAGTTAAAAGACGATAAATTAATAAATACCATCCAGAAAGTTGTTGTATATTCATTTGTATAGTATATAAATTAGATTGAATAGATTTTATATAATTCATTTTATTCTGTATTTGTATCTCATTACTTGTATTAGAATGATCATTCATAATATTAGAAATATTCATATTAACAAGTAAATCGTTATTGACTATTTCATATTGTTTATTATTATTATTATGATGATGATAATAATGAAATTGACATAATTGATCAAATGTTATATTTAATTGATTTATTATTATTTGACATACATTTTTATAAATATTAATACGATTCCCATATTGTAATAAGGATTCAGACATTTTAAATATTAAAAAACAAAATATAACAAGATTGATTGAAATCGTTTGATGATGTTTTATCCAAAATTTTCTCATTTTTTTTAAAAATTATTTTGTATTAATTCAAGTTGATGATTTTCTTCTTTTTTTTGTTTTTGTTTTTCTTTTTGTTTTAGAAAATGATAAAACAATAAGAAACAAATAGGAAATATCTAATGAAAGGTGAATACATGCAATTAATGTATGATGTAATCATTCTTTCACTATTTATAACTTCTTTCTTATTTACACAAATCTATTGAATCATTCTAATTTATTTGTTGTAAATATCATGTTATCAGAAAGAAGTAAACATTTAGAATGATGCAATAAATAAATCAACAGAACATTGTACATAGACTGTAAATAAACAAATAAATAAACAAATATAAACAGGGTGGATTATTTATACATAGTTACACAATATATATTAATTTTGCTGAATTTTGTTGGTGAATTTTGTCCACCACCACCACAACAACAACAAAAACAACAACAGAAACGTATTTCCATAAGTGGAAAGCTATTCATTTTTAATTGTAACGAATTATGAAGTTATTTGTGAATTCAATTATGAAAGATTTTATTAATGAAATTAAACATTGAATAAATATGAAATAAAAACTATGAATTTTCATCAACTGAGATAGTTTGAACTTGTGTTATGTGATTTTAAACATTAAATTAATTTAAAGTGTAATATTAAATGAAATATTGTTATATCCGGTGAAGATTAAATTACAGGTAACTTCCAAGGACTATTCATGGACTAATATTCTATAAATATTCTTATTGTATAACTACTCAACAATTACGCTATGTATATTTATATTCCTTTTATGATAAGCTTTATTTCGACTTATAATTTATTATTGTACGATTTACGATTCTTGAGCTATGCTCAGTCTATTAATTACTGTCCTCCTCATTCACAACCACTTTTTCGCTTATTTGTGTACACATGTTATTTTCTATTTTATGGTACGTTGTGGTCTGTCTGATTGATATATAAACCGGGTATGTCTGAAATAAACGATCTGCTCAGATCTGCTCTGATTCGATTCATATTACAGAAGCTGGTATTGTGTTCTGGACTGAAGTGGAAGGGCTAGGGGGACATAGGACCAATAAGGACGCTAAACGTCATTGGTTTGACATAGTGCGAAGATTGTATAAGCCGGACCTGATTGGTTGATAAGTCGCGTGATAGAAAAGTCAGACATTCAAGGTCAAAACAGATATAAGTTTGTAAAAAAAGCTTTGAGTAACCGAATCGAAATGAGACATCGATTTACAGTGGTAGTATAGTCATTTTAACAGTGTATAAGGTTTATCTATATATTGGATGACGGCACAGTGTAATTTTTAACAGAATAGTAAATTCGGTAATCTTTCATAAGTATCTATCAAAACATATTATCAGAACATATTATCTTTATAATTAAATCAAGGGGAGATTAATATCAAGTCTCAAAGATATGGTTAAGCGTCCGCGCATTAGAATGATAGGTTCTGGGTTCGAGTCTCGTGAGGGGCGGGATCGTAGATGTGCAGTGCTGAGGAGTCCCACACTAGGACAGCACGGCCGTCCAGTGCTTCGATGTTTTCTATGTTGGTTTAGCTTCAATTGACTCATGAATTCAACTATTAAAATAGAAGTAAGTTTGAAGAAACCTTTGAGTAACCAAACCGAAATGAGACAGTGGAAGTATAATTCCGACAGTATATGAGATTTATCTACATATGTTTAGATAAAGAATTGTTTAGTTTGAAAACAGTTTTCACTAATAAATAGTATCAAATGGAAAGTTATCGGAAATCAGGTAGTGTTGAATATTAGTTTTATCCTAGCCTAAGACCGTTTCGCAATGTAATCTACTCATTTCACCTAGAACACTTAGGTTAATATGATAGTACCATATCTTTACATCAATAATCCTCATTGACAATTTTAGTCAACTCTAAATAGATTAGAACCAATGGAAAATGTTACCATGGTTTAATTACTTCAATCTTAAAATGGTTAACACCTTGTAGGTCACAGCTCCTCACTAGAATTTCGAGTAACTTAAACACAGCTAGTCACAAGTGACTACACGTTCATTATTTATTTAAATGTGTGTAAGAACACATTGTTTCGTAGAATTTTTGGCCAGAAATCTGAAAGCTCGAGCTCGATATTGCCTGAATTCACAAGCTTTTTGTAAACAATGATGGATGTTTACTTTTATAAATTTTTTTTTATTTCGACTATAAATAACTCTGGTTTGCTTAGGTCAAATCCATAGATTTATTTCCACTTGAGATATTCAAAACGCTAAGCATGAAATTAAATTGGGTTTGACTGGTTTTTGAGTTTAACAGATCAAGCATATATCATTCAGGCTCGTTGAAGGAAGAGAATATTTGAACGTAAATACGAATATATTTACTAGTCACAAATGAGTGACTGAGTATATTTACAACAAGACAGTAGACAGACATAAGCAACAGGCATACTTATAGTCGTATCTTAATAATACTATACACCACAGCTGATTAAATGTTTCAGATATAAAGTGAAGAAATTAATTGGATTACAATGACATATTTATTTGACATGCTTTTTAATTCAATCATAGAGTGATGGGCTGTATGTGTATATAAGTAAAAATGGCCTGATACGTATACAACTTACTCCAGCTAGATTGGTGAATAACAATAGGATTGAGTACTTATGTTTTGTCCTATTTAAAACTTGATTTATTAATGTTTACACAAAGACTTGAATCCATTATTTTCCGCTTAAAAAACCAACGCATTTTCCACTAAAGTTACTAACTTATTCAACGTGTATAGATTTATGTATTCAATGATTTAAGTTTTCCACTTGTGATTAATAAGGATTTCAATTAAATAAGCTGTATTGTAATATGTGTTTTTTTTACTTGAGTGCCTGGATTTTGTTTTTAGCTAAACATTTTAGTAAACCTTGAAGAGTCAAGGCAAAAATCAGAAAAAAAAACCGTTTGTAGAAAATTGATTTTTCCTTCCCTTGATTTCAAGAAAAGATGATGCATTATTGGTCAGCAGAAGATCGAACCAGAGGATATCATACAGTCAATCTGGTTATCATGTGAAAAAAATAACACATCTTCTTGAGCAATTGATGGTAGACATGTACCCTTTTCATGTTAGCACTACTTGTTCGTATAGCTCTCTATATATCTTCCAAATCAGTTATGTTGGGAGAATAGAAAGACGGGTCTACTTTCGATTCTACCAACATGTCCCATGAAATCGTTTCTATCATTGCGATTTTTGAGTAACTTAGTAACATAAGAGAACGTTAACTGTATGATAATCGGGACCTATTTTTCAATCTAGTGTTAAAGTTTGAATGTAGTAATTTGGAGAGTGGGTACCTCGGCAATGTAGTGGAATTTTATTAAATTGTCAAACGTTTATAAACACGTCTTGCAATAGATTCAGATTTATCACAAATCAAACTCATTTTGCGTTTTACGGATGAGAACTAGAACCCGTTTGGTCATGTACCTTGAACAATTTAGAGTTATGCAGATCAGGAGATTTTAACCCATGATATAAACCCCAATCGGCAAACATAAAAACGAAACGTGTTGCCATCAAATAATCTAATTAATGTATTCCTGTACGACAATAATTCATTTATGTTAAGCCTAGCGAGGTTAACCAGGTTGAGATATGAGAATTATTATTGATGATAACGTTTCTTTTTTTAAGTAGTGGAAAATTAGAAATGATTTCAGAAAATCTGGATCCTATTCCAATCCAACTTACGGTCTGTCTCAAATTTGTAAGTTATGAATTCCTCATTCACAACAACCTGACTATCCAAGATCAAGGTATGAATCAATGTTGGCTTACGACAATGGAAAGAGAGAGTTAGAAACGGTCGTCTCGAAAAGTGACACACGTCGCCTTATTCCACTGATTTCCATTGCCCAAGGTAAGGCCTTATAAGTACGGAGCTGATACATCAAGAACTGCTTGCGAACGCGTTGCATATAGTCGACGTCGAGCAGTTCTTCCTCGAGCTTTGTGTTCATGTTCTCAGGATGGTATGACTACCCTTGACCCATCTACCTTTACTGGTCCCTCGAGAAGAAATATTCTTTCACGATGTGGGTAGCCGAGAAGTGACAGTCACTCTTATATTTTTAAATCATTAGACACTCTCTTTTTCATTTGGTAATGATCAACATTTAAAACTTGTAAAAATATTACATATGTAGAATCTATTTCAAACAACATTTAAATTATTAAATTCAAAATGTCAAGATGTTGGTTGCAATTGTCGTTTAGCCAGTGCTTCACTATAAAATGCACCACGGTGTAATGCGATTCTTGCTAATAACTCATCATGACTGGAACGTATCCCTGTTAGACGGCCTATATTCACCCATAATGCTTGCTCAGTAGTTTCAGATTCTAAGAATACCTTTGTAGAAGAAAACAAAAAAAAATATTCAAACAATTAAACAAAACACCGAAAGTTGAATAAATATTGGCAAATCAAGTAACGATATTGAATTGTAGTATGAATTATTAGTACTGAAAGGAAATAAACTGATTGAGCGAGCATATTGATGGAAAATCTTCGATTAGAATGAAGCACTAGCTTAATATAGTCTCTTGTTTTTTCCAGTAATTATTCTTCCGGACTCAGCCGAGAAGGATTAAAAACATTAAAATCCATGTTGACTTGAACAATATGGAGCAGATATTCATGTAAAAATACTCCCTAAAAACCGTCTCACTAGTTATTTTCCTGACTAACTCACTGAGTAATTTGTTTTCTCAATATCTTACACTATCATTCATAGGCTAAAAGGTTGCCCAATTTCATATATAGTCCATTTCTCAATCCACCTGTATATATATATTCTTAGTTCCATACATTTATTGCTCATGATGGATTCAAAGGAATAAGGTTAGTGGGGAAATAGTAAGTGGACATGTTTCACAAAGTCATCCTGAGTTAGGTGTTCTATGACAAAAATAAGATATCGAACGATGTTTTCGTGACCACATACTGATAGTTTGTCGACAAAATTGGACGATCAACATAAGAATGTAGTTGTCCCCTGGTCATCTGAAGATTCTACTATTATTATCAAAATATTCATTTTTACTTCATTACAGTCATTGACTATTACATGCGTCATGGAATAAAATAATCAAGAGAGGCTCAAACTAAGCGGTTCTTACGTTAAACTCTAAAATATTGTCTATCATAAATAATATGTGATTGTATTTCAAAGAATAGTCGTCAAAGACAATAAACTTAGAATAATTTTAAAATGCTAGAAACTATTCAAGGAATTAGTAAGATAATTTTAACTATTTATTTCCAGTTTTCAAATTTTCGACGATTTGACGTAATCAACAAGAAGCCATTAACATAGATTTCTTACTAAAATAGAGCTCCATCAGAAAGACGTGTTTACATGCGTGGCAGATGTGACGCTAACTCATCATCGATGCCGTACACATAGTTGTCATCATTAGACTATTTGTGACGTGACTGACCGCCTACAAAGTGAATAATTTTAGACTTGATGTGTTATTACTGAATATTATAATTGAACCAATCAACATCGAGGTGCACAGAACAAGCTTTGAAACACATATGGAGAAATTCAAACACTTCACTTCTAATTGAAGTTTGTGCTGATGATGTCGTTCAGAAGAACGATGAAAGCTCCATGACCAAACCATCCAGCTCAGAGAACAAAACTCCACCAAAATCATCCACCTGAGCTACAAATCTTCTCCACCAATCTTATAATTAGTCAAGATAAACTTTATTGGAAAATTCCAAACTATTTAAGCTTCAATTCAGTTGATAATAACTATCGATGACTGACACAAAAATAACTATCAGAAGGGGTTTTGTGGAGATATTAGTAATTTCAATAGTTGAAATCATGAGGCAATTGAAGCTAGACCAACATGGAAAACCTGAAAGAATTGGACGGCCGTGTCGTCCTGGTACGGGACTCTTCAGGACTGCACATACACGATCCCACACCCCGCGAGATTCGAACACAGGACCCATCAGTGTCACACCTAAGCACTTAACCATATCATTGGAACTTGATATTAATCTTCTTTTAATTTAATTATGAAGATATGTTTTGATAGATACTACTGAAAGATTACCGACTTTGCTTTTCTGTTGAAAATTACACTGAAGATAACAGCATATTATCATTTGGTAGTTATTGTTATAAAAATTTAAATTCACCACCAATAAATTGTAGCTGTTTACTTCAACTGTAATTCATGGTTATGTAATAATTATCTTTCTAAACAACTAGAAAGTGATCTATAAGTTGATTGAATGATTCCTTATTATTGACACTACTTTCTATTCGACATTTAACTATGAAAGAGTCCCATAGGATTGTTGACAAAGACATATAAGTAATTTAAATGGGAAAAAATATTTTCTTTATTACAATACCATTTACTGAAGCTGTAAAATTGTATTTATAGCAATTTAATAGCTAGAGTAAGTAGTATGTTAATAGTTAATAAAATTTAAAACAGTTATTCTTGTGGCGCAATTTCGTGGATTAGTTGAAGTTAGACATCGTTAGAAACCGTTGGATGCTGACCGATTCAGTGGTCTTGTGGTTAAGCGCTTGTGCGCGAAACTGATGGGTCCTACATTTGAATCCTGCGGGGGGGTGGGATTGTGGATGCGTACTGCTGAGGAGTCCCGTACTAGGAAGAAACGGCCGTCCAATGCTTTCAGGTTTTCCATGTTGGTCAAGCTTCAATTGACTCATGATTTCAACTATTAAACTCTCATAGATATGTTTATCAACTTTATAAAAATAATGAAAGTCTAGTGCAATTATTTGAAACTATAAATATCATCAATTTGTATAAATTTTCACACCTATTCAATGATACAGTGTGACATTGTGTATAACTTAATAAATAATCCTATTCATTAATTTAACATGAAATTGCATCTAGATAATCAAATAAAAAGAAAACAAAAATAGATCAAACAAATAGAGCAAAAAGAAACATAATTACCTTACTGAATTTATAATCATTTTCTATATACTTTATGAAATATATTTTATATGATATATGGATCTTTCATTGAATTTTAGAATAGTGATTTGTAATTTGTTTTATAGAATATTTATTACATGATGGTGGGTTTTAAATGATACATTTTATATTGATGAAATGTTACAAAACTTAGTTATTTTATGTACAATAATAATAATAATAATCGAAACGAAATGTACCCTTCCTCCCCCCCTCGAGCTAAATCTCAATCTATAGTGTCCACTTGACAACAATCCTTACATATTATTTGGCTTTGATCAGGTATATATTCATAAGGATTTGATGTAACTGTTTTGATCAAATCAATCAGTTAAACTGAAATTTCTCGATCTATTAATTTCTCTGGAAAATATGACTTTGAAGTGATAATTTAAATAAATTGTAGATGGTTGAACTCACAAGTTGATCTAAAGTAGACCACTATTGAAAACTTGGAAGCACTGGATGACTATTTTGTTATAGTATGGAACTCCTCATCAGTGCACATCCACAATCCCATACCGAGGACTCAGACACAGGACATTCGGTCTCGTGCTCGAACGCAACCTCTAGACCACTGAGCCGACATCCAACAATGTCGATGTCTAACTTCAACTGATCCATGATCCTGTGCAACCCTTCATCTTTTATCTGAGGTTGATAACTGTATCTATCCGAAATGGACTGGACTTCACTAGTCATTGCTTCTCACTAGGACTCCAGGAAATTCATCTTGAAGCTAATCACTAGTGAGCACATGATAATTATCAGTATGAGAATTTTTAATCGTTAAATTACTACAATCTCCACAAATCCCAATAATAATGAAATTCTAGATATTTGTAAATTTTTTTATTAGTCACCACCAGCCATCAAAATCTTGATGAACTATAGACTTCTTTAAAATGCATTGACATAATATCACTGACAAATTTAGTCTAGGAAATTATCACTCAGATAACTAAGTAAATTCTCTGGTTCACGTCATGTAGAGATTTTATCTAGACAACCATTGATAACCAAGAAGAGCTGGATAGTTGTTTTGCCTTTATGAGGCACTCTTCAGAAGTGCAAATTGACGACTTCACCGAAGACTGAACAAGAACTTTTCATGTTTCACGGTGACTGCTTAACCGAAAGTAAGTAATCATCCGATAAATTCTATGTATATTAACCTTCAAAGTAAACTTTCTTCTATATTTCTAGCTTTGTATTTTCTATTGAAGATCTGAATGTAATAGATTTCAGTCAACTATAAATTTTTCTATAAGATATCAGTATAAATCTAATCCATCTTAAGCACTACAGTTGAAACATTGAAAAGAATTTTTTTGATTTCAATGTTTTAACCATCTGGTTGAAATGACTCAACAATTAGTTGTAGATTTTTTTTAAAAGTAATAAATATCCTACGTGATAGCAACTAATGCTTAACATTGGTAACATTCATAAAATCATGGTCTATACCAATACGAGAATCATTGCTGTTGTTTATTTCAAAATGAAGTTAGAAAGATCAATTGATGATACTCAATCTATGAGATAATCATTAAGATAAAAGTAAACTCAATAACCTGTAAAGATGATGATGTATACAAAAAAATGATCAAATATATGTTACTTAATTTAAACTCCAAACACTATGTTGTCTAAGAGCTTAAAAGTAAAATATATCACTGAAGGACTTCACCAACATTTAAATATCATATTACCGATTCACTCGACAAGTCCCCAAATCAGAACACGTATGAACAGGAAAGAGATTATATTCCAAATAACAAGGTTAGATGGAAGTAAGATGCACAATAGAGAAAACGTTAGTATATTTATAGTTTTTACATGAGAAGATTCTCCAACTATCCACTAGTACTGATTGGATAAGAATTAGCCAATCAGCGTGCACCAAAGCAATCGTGCATTGAGCATGCTTTAATCCAGTCCCGCTAACAACATAATAATCTGATGACTATTGGTTTAGTGTAGATTACATCAGTTTAGATAGTTTCAAATAGATTATTCTTTTATTTTTCTAAATATTATACATTATTTTCAAACTAAATAGAAAATAGCAAAGATGGATGATGGCTAGTAGTGAAATCAAGGACGTCCTATTCGGAACTCTTCGGTTGGATACCCCTGTGTCCCAGAGTTGATATAGATAACGCGATGATGTTTGAAGCGAGCAGTGTTGGCTTCAAGTCACGGAGTGAACATCAGCTCTACGATGTAGGTACATCCAACTGAAGAGTCCCGAAAAGGACAAAATACGCGTCCTAAACTCCACTACTAGTCACCATCCATTTCTCCTTATAATACTTGCGAATTGAGGCAATCCGTACAAAATACACATATGACAATAAGAGACTGATCAATTTGAGTCGTAAACATCAATCTATTATGTATTAAATAATAAAAGAAGAATAAATTTGACTTTGGAAGGAATTGTTCATTCATTCTAATACAAGCATGTTTTGTTTTCTTTTAGATTTGATTCAATACATCAGTTTCGATTGTCATTATTATCTTTTTTCGTGATCTTATGTTTTATTTCAACTGTACAAGAGGAACATTTTGAATAAATTACATAGTTGTTTGTTCATACGAACAAAAATAGTGTGTGTGTGAGAGAGAGACAAAGAGAAACACAAAGAAAATGAAATGGAACTTTTCGAGAATAAAAACATGAAGGAATATGTACAATAAAACAACCATAGATTAACATGAAATGATACAACAATGAAGATGGTTGGGGAGTAAAAGAATGAGGAAACTGATAAATAAACAAGAAAAAACATTTCCTGACGTTTATCATTACTTTTTTGTACCACATAAAAACTAACGGAGAAAATGTTTTCGGTGGTTTATCTTTTTTTTCTTTTAATACCCTACCCCCTTCAACTCTGAATTTATGGGATATTTCTTGTAGTAATTATAGGACAATATCTTGGTATACTTTAGTAGAATATTAAAATGAAAATACATGATTCTAGAATAATTTTTCCATTTTAATGATTCAAAGTTTAAATGTAGAAATTACAAGTGAACTAATATCAACATTTCAATCAACAATCTAGTCTAAAGTTATTCAAGGATATAATCAATGATAAACGTTATGTTCCGATAAGCATAATGAATGGTAACTTTGGGGATCCATTTATGAGCCAATACTATGCGTACATTTTTATTGTAAAATTGTTAAATAACTAAACTATTCATATTCATGTCCCTCTCATTATGAGCCTTATTTTGACCTATGAACTATTATTATACGATTTAATATTCTTGAGTTATGGTCTGTCTATTAATTACTACCTCCCTCATTCACATCCACATTCGCCAAATCTTGTACAAATGCTGTTTCCTATTTTATGGTATGATGTAGTCTGTTTGGTTGGTATATAAACCCAGTATATTTGAAATAAATGATTCATATTGCAGAGGCTGAGGTTAGTGTTCTGAACTTAACAGGCTAGGCTAGGTGGGAAGCAGAACCGATAAATACTCTAGACTGCTCGTACGAGTTTTAGGCGTCATTGATCCGATCGGTAATTCACTGCTCTCCAATTGGCTGTATCGTTACGTTATACATTAATAGCGAGCACAGGCCACAAGTTATAACAATAAATAAAATGCAAATTACATTTTCACTGAATCTCATTTATCTTTGATCATTTTGATTTTGATCCTTTCATAGAAGAAACTCAGATTAGTTAGTAAGGGAAATTGTTGATATTATTTTAATTATAATTTTTACGTGTAATGCTTTTGATATTCTTGACATGTAATTTATATCAAACTATTTGTATGACAATGTTTAGTTTTTAGAAATGATATGAGTGAGTTTAGAGTTAAATCTAATAATTAGATCATCATTCCATGGATCGATATATGTCCTGCCAAAACTTATTTCTCTTGTAATCATTTATATTTCAAGTCATATTCAATCATGTTTATTTGATGTGATATAATTTGTATGTAAGATATTTTCTCTTATAAACTACTTTATACTTATGACATTATCTTTATCAGTTAGAAGAGAACTATTTCAATTGTTAATCTTGCTAGTATCCATGGTTGATACAACATGTAACTCAGATTGACTGTGAATAAATCAGTGATAAATGTCACGTTTGTCTGGTTCTTAGTGATGATTAAATTCTATCGATCAATATCCAAAGTGACTCGTTATCAATTAGATAATGTCAGGTGGTTGGATATAAAAGATATGACACTACGAATTTACAATTTATCAATAAAGTGTAGCTGAAATCTATGAGATCTTAACATCTATCATTCAGTTTCTTTGATCAAGATATCATCACTAAACTATTTAGGGCCACTATTGACCTCTCGTGGGACTGAAATATTTACACTGATTTATCATTGACTGTTACTAACTAGTTAAGAGATCACTTTTAAAATTTTATTTTGACTAACCTAAACCATTCATTTATTTTTTGCATACATTGAATACTAAACTGATGATTCTTATCAATAATCAAAGCATAAGATTACACAATAATAATAATAATAATAATATCACTAATGATAACATTAAAAAAAAGAGAAAAGAAATGAGTACAATTACTTTTGTGATCGACAGTATGGTTGATATAAACAGAGATCGTTTTAGTTAATAGTAACTAAATGTGTGTTTTTCTTATCCAAGGTTGTTAAATATCAAATCATAAGTGATTATGATTGTTAACTTTCTGGAGTAATTAACATTAGTAGTTGAATATATATCGTTAGTATAGGATTGTGGAGATTGCTCAGTTTAAATCGATATCATGAATGGAACAGTGTTAACCCACCATTGAAAACCTGGAAGCACTGGATGACTATTTTGTTGTAGTATGGGACTCCTCATCAGTGCATATCTACGATCCTACACGAGGGACTCGAACCCAGAACACGTAACCTCTTGACCACTGGGCCAACATCCAACAGTGTTAATGTCTAACTTCAATCAATCTATGATCTTGTACAACCCTTCATCCATTGTATGAGTTTGATAACTGTCTTAACATGCGACAAGGATTTAACTCCAGTGGTCACGACTTCTCACTAGGACTCCAGGAAATCCATCTTGAAGCCAATCACTAGTGTGCACACGGTAATTATCAGTATAGGGTTGTGGAGATTGATGAGTTTAGATTGATATATAAAGTAAATATTTAGAATTGCTTGATCACTGAGTAGTGATCAATGTCATGTATGTCAGGTCTTTGTTAGGGCTGATTGGAAATTAGGTTCAGAGTATTCTATCTACTAACCCTAGATACCCACCACATTACATTAAAACAATTATTTATACCTGCAAAAATTCCTGCTGAAATGGATGTTCTTCATTCTCATGTATATTAAATAAAACTCCTTCAATCCATGCATGATCAGCATTCAGATGATCAGTTATATAACCAGTATAAGCCTAAAGTTTTGAATGAAAAATAGTAAAAATGCCTAACTATGTGTATTGACACAAATTTAATGTTAATCATCTTTATATTTAAGTAACTAATTGGATGGAATAATGTTTATTACATTAAGTCGATTAATTATTACTTGTTAGGTTTTACATTATCTTGGTACCATTATTAGAGGCTGCATTTATTCAGTCACTGTTGTAGTATAGGCTTACTGAGTCGATGGCTTTCTATTGTTCATTCTTGTAAGATGATTAGATTTTGGATGCTGGTTACAAAAGGCACGTTTTTATTTACTTAAAACTTGTCAGCTGGATACGCCTACACTGGACTGTACTTGTTTACATTCGGACTTGAACTAATTACTTCCAACACCAACGTCATTAATTTGTATGTTCTCCGTTTTAAGTAAGTAGTGTCTGTTCTACATGACTTCAATACAACTCAGATCAGGAACACGTGATTAACCTGACTAGAATGTAAGTATATTTCTATATCAAAAACTGACAACTAGCCGTCATAATCTAACAACAATCACAACAATATTAATAAGTATAGAAGAATATATAACTCATCTAACACCTGTCAGACTATATACAAGTCTGACTAAGCAAACAATCAACCATTATCGTTCTCGCCCACACATCACATTTCAATTCCAACTCCTGCTACATACTACTTATAGAGCACACCATACTACTAATACTACTACTTTGAAATATACAGGTCATTCGAAAATACCTATATAACGTGATTTTATTTCATAGTCTAAACTCATTTCTATGAACGAGGCTGTGATCCTGTTCTCATTGTTGATTAGCTTAAAATTTACAATCGAATGAAATACACTTTGAAAAATATATAATTTTAACATGAATTTAGGGATTTCAGTTGAGATAGGTTAAGTATTGTTAATAAAATGAACAAACTTCCATTTTGACTATGAGACTAGTTACATTTTAAAAGATATATATTAAATTTACAATATGAGATTCTTTGAAGAGATGTTTTTCCAAGCTGTACAGTCATATACATATGCAATTTCAACAATTAATTCTTTGAAGTAATTGCTAAAGACGTCATTTCATAATTCATTCAGTAGGTCAGTCATTAACAAAGTAGGATCTGACATAAATGTCTACTGTTAGTGCAAATGATAAAAGTTGTAAGAAGCAAAACCAGAAGATAATATTGAAAATCGAAACTTTAAAGAATATGATAAGTCATTATACTTACATAACTGTTAACGATTTCCATCAATGTCACTTGAGTTCGTGAACAACAGATTACCGTCCGGTTATTGTCCGGAACTCAAATTCCCAGTGCCTTAATTCAGTAACCAATAACAAAGTAAACTAATGTCTTGACCATCCATAGCTTTAATTTCATCAACTTATAGGCCCTCCAGTTTAGAAGGGTGAAGTATTCAAATTTTGGGTACGACTAATAGATATCCTGATCATTTAAGTTGATCAATGATCCTAGTTGCATCATTCACATGACAATGTTGTTTCTATGATAATCTTATATGAGGAGTACAAACCCAATACAGCTAGATATTTTATTATAAATAATAGTTCAGTTAATCATAATCTTTGATGAGACATACAATCTTCGAAAAAAATTATGAGTGACTATTTCAATTTCGGTCTATAGAGTAGATTTTAGATAACGGTGAGACTATAATTTGTGGACGAACTTTGAGCGACTCTAAAATGAACTTGAGACGACTCACTTATTTACCAGAGTCAAAATACGGCTAGAAATTAGTATGAAGAATAAGGATTAAGATTTAATGTTAGAATTTAAGGTAAAGAATTAGAGTAAGGGTTTTCATCAAGGAACTAACATCAGCTATAATACTAAAGTGTTATTTAACTAAATGAATGAATGAATTTCAGACTCAAATCCAAGACTTGATATCCTTAATTTTATTAGTTCATCCATAAATTATATTATCTTACCTAAATAACACCAAATAATTATATTTTAACAAAATTTAACTAACTTACAATTGAAACACTAGCAGCTCTTAAACTTATCAACATTGACTGTTGATGGTGTTTATTTTCAAATAAATTCATTAAACGACGTTGAATGAATCCACGTATAACATTAGCACTACAATCTTGAAAATCACAATCTTCTCGATGATCAGTTAAATACTGATAATTGAAAAAAAATCAAATCGTAACTGATTCATTAAAAAGTAATTTTAAAAAAATGTAAAGATAATTTAAAAAGTATTGGATCATTGTTTGGCATTATTATACTTGTACAGTACTTATGTGTTATATCCCGATAAGAATAATGAATGGTAATTCTTGGGATCTATTTATGAACTAATACTGTGAGTATATTTTTATCGTATGATTGTTATGTAACTAAACTGTTCATATTCATGTCCCTCTCATTATGAGCCTTATTTTTACCTATGAACTATTATACGGTTTACCATTCTTGAGTTATGGCCTATCTATTAATTACTAGCTTCCTCATTCACAGCCACTTTTGGCTAAATCGTGTACAAATGTTATTTTCTATTTTATGGTACGATGTGATGTGTGTGATCGGTATATAAACCCAGTATGTTTGAAATAAATGATTCATATTGCAGAGGCTGAGATTAGTGTTCTGGACTTAACTGGCTGGGCTAGACAGGGAGCGAGACCAATCAGGACTATAGGCTGTCGCACCTGTTTTATGCGTCACTGGTTCGATCGATAATTCTCTGCTATCTGATCGGCGATATCGTTGCGTTATACAATAAACAGGGCACGCAGGTTCACAAGTTATAACATTATGAGCTTTAGATTTCAAGAAAAAGCATTTAATGGTATATTAGTAAATTGATTTGTAGTAATGCATATAATTAAGGTCATACAATTTACAATGCAAAAGAGTTTAATAGTTAAATTCATGAGTCAATTTAAGCTAGACTAACATTAGAAACCTGAAAGTATTGGACAATCACTTCATCAGTGAGCGACCACAATCCTATACGAACAACTCAAACCCAGTATCTTCGGTCTTGCGAACGGATATTTAACCTTTAGATCAATGATCCAGCATTCAACGGTGCTAATGTATAATTTCAATCGATCCATGATCTTGTGCAAAACTTCATTCATTGTCTGAAGTGGAGTCAAATCTATGTCAGGTGAAGACAGTCTTGCTTAGATCGACTAATGAATTCAACTATTAAAATTACTATAATCTCCACAAATCCCCATTCCAATAATACAAATTATGTTAGATTTAAAATTTAAACGAAAGTTATCGTTGATTTATATCTTTATCTTTTCATAAAGTAACACTACAGATTAACATTAATACTTCCTTATGCTGAATGGTTGTTTAAATAAAAGTTAGTTTGTGATTTAAAAATACAACATTCATTTATTTCCATAATTCACTATAGCAACACTAACACTGTTTCATATTTCTCATAGATGATATAGTTTTAATGAATTAAATTGAATTTTATCAAATTAAAGGATATTCAAAGTTTAAAATGGCCAATCCATTCTATAAATTTCGATTGTATATTGAAAATATTGAATTGATGTGCAAAAGATGATGTACTTGTAAAATACATTCCCGTCCGTTGGAATATAAGTCTAACTGAATCGATACAACGGTGAGACTATAATTTATGGACAAATCAATCAGATATAAGATAACAGGTCTTGAATTTTAGCGTGAAGTTCATTTGATCCATTTAGCTAAACAGCGTTTTGACATCATAGCTGATGTCCGTTCATGATGAAAATCCTAAGTCTAATTCCTAACCCTAACCAACAATTGAAAATCTTAATTCTAATTCCTCAAACTGGTTTATAATCCTCATTTACTCTTCGTTAGTAGATGGATATTCTCAAGATCACTTTAGCGTTGATAAAAGATCGTCCGTGAATTCAATGAATCTACATTTTAGATACAGTAGATCAGAATAATAAATTACTGATTAAAACATTAATATTGAGTGAATATCCGTTGAAGTTTATAAATATATTATGAAAGTTAGATTATACCCAAATCATTTCTTAAGTTCGTTTATAAGGAAAAGATCAACATTACATTATCAAGGAGAATCAATACTATGCAATTTGAAACGGAGGCTGAAAACAATTGAGGAAATGTTTTGTGCAGCCAAACTGACTTTCATTGGATGAACAAAGCCCATCATTACACACTGGCCTCAACATCATTTCTTTCTTTTTATCAACTCACATCTATATGGGGACATATATACATAAGGATAAGTTATGAAACAATAGCCTTAAATAGTGGAAAATGTTCTTGAATAACGTAGCGTCAAATGCTCCGATGAACTTAAATCGTAGAAAACCATGCTTTACAAAAGTGAAAAATATAATTCAGATAGACAATAGGATTAACCTATTTTAATAGGATTCATAGGTTGCATAAATATTATTAACGATACATTCTTAGATTTGTAAAACCTTCATCCGTTAGAAAATTCAAACCTTCTTCCAACGCTGTTTGAATTCAGAAGGAAATAAGAAGAGGCGACTACAGTTCATTATCGGATAGCACAAATCACAAAGCTACAAGCACATTGAGCAAATTTAGAGCAGAGTGGCTAATATATGTGAGCAAACGAATACAGAGGCAAATTTATAGTCAAATAGAATCAAGGCGCAGCTAGGCAAGGCAAAGGTTAACAACAGGATTCGAGTATATATATAAATGTAAAAGAGAATGACTCATCGAGCGACATTTCAGAGATTAACATTTAAGCTAGAGAGAGATATGCGCGTAGACTGTCGTATGTGATCATAATAGTACAGAGAAATAGATGAATCGTTACTGATCAAATAACGTTGTCTGTTAAGTATGTTAATAAAAGGGTTTAAAAAAATTAACCATGATCGAAATCGATTGTAGGACAGTTGCTATAACATGACCATTTTTCTACATTTTTCATAATACCATAACACACAATGTCAGTAATGATGGATTTATCAACAAATGTTGCAATATTATGATCGCGACAATTCCCCATCGTGATAGAAAAAATATTTATTTATTTTACAATATTACATAGGGGAGATAATTAATTGAATGTAAAAAATGTAACCTTTCGGATTAATTTCTACTGAACAGAATGAATTGTTCCAGTCACTGCTATATGGATGAGTACTATATGAACCATCGCTTAACTAGAAAACGTCTTATTATATGGATCGTTTAATACTAAGATTTTCGTTGACGGGATTACTTGTACTCAAAACCCCACCCTCCCACCCATAGTTCATCAACTTGTTTTTTATGAAATCGCAGATAGAACCGAGATATTTTGTTTTATAACGTAATCTTTTAAAATGGTCTACCTAGCTGAGTGGTTTTATGTAGATAAACTTTGGAAACCAAAGTACACTAGACTTATGAGTTCTGTCCATCGAAACTTATCAGAATCGATGCTGAATGTCAACAGCTGACAAATATCACCTCATGAAATCAGCTATAATGAGTTTCTGAACATTATGATTTAGAGCGCGATACAAAACATTGTACTTTAAATGACTTTTGATACGCTTTACAAACTGAACTATGAGACTCAGAATTTAGTATCTCAACTGTTTTCAGCATATCAAACAAGACGATCATTAGAACATCCGAAAGTGTACTGATACTTATCTCATATTACCTCTACTTGTATTCACCAGCTTACGTATAGATGCGGGAAGAATGATTTAGAAGAACTGTAAGGCGAGTTATTGGTCACGTCTCTTAGAGAATCTCACGACGACTGAGGTTCAAATCTCAATGTAGTTTTTGTAATGCAATCGCCTGTCATCTTATCGACGGTGGGAAAGATGTTTTTATTTCAAAATCATTCAGAATTGTCAATAAGCAAATATATTCGAATTTATTCCATTTTACCGAACCCAATAGTATCAAAAAGCTTTAAAATGAGTTTATACTTTCCAAGGAATCGTGTCGTTAGTCTTGCACTTCTCCGATGACAGTTTGTAACAGTCGGTTAGGTAACGTCTTATTTTGTGTTCTATTTTATAAATTCATTTTCTTCAACCTTCCTTGCTCTTTATCTTTGGTTTACTCATTTTAAACTTTTAATCAATTTAACTTAATATAGTTACTATTGCATCGCTTTCAATACTAATTTTTTAGTAACCTGTTTTCAAGAGTCTTAAAAAGTTTTCTTCTGGACTGTTCACACCATATAATATGCAAATGATCAACTTTCCAACCATCACTCATAGTTCTTGCACGGCTAATACTCTTTTTATTGATCTTCATTGACGAGAATTTTTCTGATATTCTGAAGTACGATAATATAACATGCTTTATTTTTAAAAATTCATACTGCTATTTCTAGGTTATAAGCGGTTGAAGAGAATCCATAAAATAGGTGAATTCGCATTATTCTGCACGATTGTTGTTCCTGGTTTATCCAGTTTCTAAACAGTAAAGATTGTTTGGTATGCAAAGACTTGTAGAGGTTGTAAAATTTTCATACTTCTAAATCCCCAACTGGTCTTCATTAAGTCGTCATTGGGAACTTGAGGGCACCAAGCCTGAGGTCCTGAGGTCGATTCCAAGACATGAGATCGTGAATACGCACCGTTGTGGAGTCCCGTGCTAAGGTGAAACACCTATCCCGTGCTTCCAGATATCAATGTTGGTCTGGCTAAGATCAGTTCGTGATTCAAAACCATGAATATTAATATATATCAGCCAATCAATAACAATAATAATATGTTTTTCAAACTTACCCATGGTAAACATAATTGTTGATTGTTATGAAGTAATCCAACTTGAATAAATGGTAAATTTTCATAGAATCTGTGGCCTGGATCTGGTCTTGTAATCGCAATAATAATACAATGATTAGGTCCCCAATGTGGTAGTAAACCCTTACCACTTAAACCAGTGCGTCCACATGGATTCAGTGGATAACCAACAGGAATATATTCAGATAACTTTGCCGTTGCTTTAGTCGGTGCAGTTTTCGATGTCACGTTAGTTGTTCTAGGATCAGTTATGTGATCTGTTTGTCTTACTATTCGTACCCGACCACGTAATGACATTCGACTTACACCTTTCACAATATCATAACTGTTGTATGGCAGTGTTTGTGGTAATCTTGAACACGTGCAGATGTACAGAAAATGTAAGGAAATATAACGGAAATTCATAATAATAAGAGAACATTTTTTCAACAGATGACTTGGTATTTGAATGATCAAACCCAACCTGGCTGTCATCGATAATGTATGCCACAACCTCGTAGTGAAGCAGACATGATATATTGTCGTTAGACACATTCGGTAAATTAGTTACGGCTTATATATAAACTTACTATGTACTAGAACTCATCAGTGTCAAATTTCATTAACTTCAAAACAACTATTACTGATGTGAGAAGCTCAAAATTTTATTACTTACTGTGTCGGTCAAAAAACATTATGTATCGGCTGTCTGAATAATGGTTAACGCAAAATGGTCAATGAATAAAAATCAGTCATTTTCCAACAAATAGATCGTCAGGTCAAACTATAACCATCATGCAAATTTGTGCTTGAATGAGCTTAATGCAGTGGCATATTTTCGGTTACAGTTCTACTGTGTGGGGCGGAAAACTGGAGAACTACGAAAGCCATCATCCAGAACATACAACTGTTTATTAACAGCTATCTACGCAAAATACTTAGGATCCGTTGGCCAGACACTATCAGCAACAACCTACTGAGAGAGAGAACAAACCAGATCCCAGCGGATGAAGAAATCAGGAAGAAGTGCTGGAAGTGGATGAGACACATATTGAAGAAAGCACCGAACTGCATCACGAGGCAAGCCCTCATATGGAATCCTCAAGGCCAAAGGGAAAGAGGAAGACCAAAGAACACATTACCCCGATAAATGGAGACATATATGAGAAAAATGAACAAGAACAGGATAGAACTAGAAAGGAATGCGCAGGACAGAGAGAGTTGTAGAATGCCGTTTGGAGGGCGTAACATTGGGAGTAACAGGAGTAAGTAAGTAAGTAAGTAAGTAAGTAAGTAAGTAAGTAAGTAAGTAAGTAAGTAAGTAAGTAAGTAAGTAAGTAAGTAAGTAAGTAAGTAAGTAAGTAAGTAAGTAAGTAAGTAAGTAAGTAAGTAAGTAAGTAAGTAAGTAAGTAAGTAAGTAAGTAAGTAAGTAAGTAAGTAAGTAAGTAAGTAAGTAAGTAACTAAGTTAGACTTTTTTCATGATGGTCTAGCTATAATTGACTCATGGTTTCAATCACAAACTTAACAATCTCCACAACATCTAAACTGATAATTACCATGTGCTTACTAGTGACTCGCTTCGTGAGAAAATTCTCGGAGTTCTGGTGAAAAGCCGTGACCAGTGGAGCTAATCCGTGTCGGGTGGAAACAGGTGTCTACCTCAGTACAATGGAAGATGGTCGCGCAATTTTGTGGATTGGTTGAGGTTAGACATTAACATCACTGGATGCCGGCTTAGTGGTCTAGTTGGTTAGGCGCCTGGCTCGACACTAACAGATCCTGGGTTCGGATCTCACGGGTTGCGGGGTCGTGGGTGCACACTGCTGAGGAGTTCCTATGCTGTGACGAAACCGCCGTCCAGTGCTTCGACGTTTTCCATGGTGGACTAGCTTCAATTGACTCATAATTTCAATCAGAAACTTAAATTATGTAATAGTGTGATATAACTTAAAATGTAATTAAATGAATGATAATATAGAACGATTTAATTTGGAATCTATATGACAAGGTTAATATATTTTTGCATTGAAGTTAAATCTTATACCATAACAAAATAAAACAAATACTTTCGTATAAATAAAACAGTTCTTCTTATTGATTCCCTTTAACTAATTAATAATAATATTCTTAAATGAATGTTTCATTAAAGAAGAAAAATTTTTTCAATATTAAAATAAAATTGAATAACCTACACTTCTGGTCCATCTTCTAATTCTGGATATGGTAAAGCAATTCTATCATCTGTTACAGTGAATGTTCGATATGTATCGTATGGAATCTAAATGTGAAGTTCAAATAATTATATGAATATATTGATATTAGAATATCAAATTAGATATCTTATTAGATTTGTAGGCTGAATAATAACGTCTAAAACAGAAGTATGTTAATTCTGTATATTTTGTAACCTAGAAATTGAATGAACTCTAGAGATATCTCATCGTAATAATAATCTTGTGTTAACCAGTGATCAACTTCTAAAAGAAATGTTTTACATGGCCGTTAGAGTTCATCAGGACGGGGGTTGAGATGGATATCTCCAGAAAAGATTTTTAAAAAATGAATTTACTACTATCAAAAATCTGAATCACTGAGTGTTAGCTCAATATGTTGTCATGTGACCTCATGGTCTTAGGTTCAATTCCAGGTAGAGCGATAAGTTATTCTATGTTAAAGATTCTCATACTAGGATAAAACAGCTGCTCAGTATCTCTCGTTTCTCACTGGCTTTTTTTGCTGATATCAGTCTATGATCCAGACGACATACAGGGATAATTAATAACCAAATTAATACAGTCTTAAACGTGAAGCGAAATATTAATTTAAGTAGTCTTGGTAAATAATATATAAACATTTAGATCTCATCAGAGGTATAATCTTTCAATAAAAATAAGAATATATTCGTATCAGAAGGGGATTTGTGCAGATTGTAGTAATTTGAATATTTGAGATCATCAGTCAATTGAAGTAAGACCAACATGGAAAACATCGAAGCACTGGACGGCCGTTTCGTTCTACTGTGGGACTCCTCAGCACTACACATCCACGATCCCGCCTCGCGAGATTCGAACACAGGACCTATCAGTCTGGTGCACGAAGGCTTAACCAATAGGCCACTGAGCCGGCCAGCATGCAACGGTGTCTAACGATGTCTAACTTCAACTAATCCACGAAATTAAGCGACACATCCACCTTTGTCTTCAATGAGTTACCATTTCACAAGAGACCCACGTTTTCCATGGTAGTCTAGCTTCAATGGACTCATGATCTTAACTATTAAAAGAATATATTCATTCATAAGGTTTATAACTGAACATTTAAAAAAATAAAAACCCATGTACTTTTATTCTAATTATTTAAGGTCATTCAGTTTGATAGAATGTAAGAAATATATACGATTAATGATGAATATCCAATGGTTAACAATATAAGTTTCTAGTTGTAGCCCGTAAATTTATTTTTATTTCACTTAAGTCGTTGGATATTTTCGTACGTCCGTTGGGCGTACAACATCAGCAACAGCCTACTGTGGGAGAGAATAAACCAGCTTCCAGATGAAAAGGAGATTAAGAAAAGACTCTGGAGATGGGAAGTACACACATTACGGAAATCATCAAACTGTATCAAGAGTCAAGCCCTTGCTTGGAATCCTTGAGGTTAAACGAAAAGTTATACCAAAGAACGCATCGAGTCAGACCTGGATGCAGACATCAAAAGAATGAATAGCACTTGAAAACAACTGGAAAGGATTCGGTTAAATAACCAATGTGAGTAGCCTATGCTTCTCCAGGGGAGGTAACTGACGTAAGTGAGTAAATTAGTCGTTGAGTGTTGGAGTTATGTAACGCATTAAAGTTTTTGATTGGATGGTTTATAAAGATTGTTTAATATTAAGATTAACGAAAACATAATACACTTACTTTCCAGTTTATTTTATCGTGTGGTACATTCATTCTAATTCCAGGGAATATTTCAAAATTAAATGGAACTATGCGCCATAGTCTATGGCTTAGAATGAGGCGTTCATAAATTTTACCAGATGCTGGAGCTGCACGTGGACCACGTGATGGTGGTCCTTTACGTGGTGTTAGAACTGTATCTGCTTCAAGTTCATCACCGTTGCTTCTTGTTAAAATAGCTTTGACGCATTGTTCTTCAATTCTTAACCTTATAAATAAAAACAGGCGTATTTACAATTGTTTTCCCTTAAACTGTTCCAAATGAACGAATCACAACATGGAAAAAAGAGTTTATTATAGTTAGTTGATCATATTTTTTGTAGTCAGATTATTTTATCTGGCTAAACTAGATATGTCCAGCTAGATATTCCTCCAGTGAAGCTAACCGTATGATTTATGGGCATTTGATATATGCTGTTGTTATACGTCTACAAAACTTCAACTCATAAATTAAGAAAAAGTAAAGATCAGTCTTTCGTACTGAGTCTTTTTCTGTCTCTGTAAAGCTTATAACATCTTATCTCCATGACCTTGTGAAATGTTTAACAAACAACTATATTAAAAATTTATATAGATAACGAGAGAATTGTGAAGGTTATTGGGGGAAATACATACTTCGTTTTACAGTATACTATTAGAGAGTAGACGAAACACTTTATTTTATGTAAAGCAGGGAAATTTGATGTTTAACACATTTTCAACATTCAGAGAAACCTTAAATAGTCTTAGCTACATATTTATCCGTTATCTATATGGCTATAGTTAAACCGACTCAATGGAGGATGAAGCCAGTCTACTTATACGCTTCAATACTGCTAAGAAATTTCTGAGTGTACCAAACGATAGATGGAGAATGCTGATGGGCGGCCTATGCTCCTCCATGATGGGTTACAGGAGTAAGTAAGTAATTGGCAATTGTTTAGTGAAGAAATGTGTATAAAATAGGAAATTAATATTTTGAACTGTTGATCATGAAATGTTCTGACTAGTAGACCTAAAGGAGTATTCAGAATTCTATGAAACTGATTTCATCCCACAATAGATTTCAATACTAAATTTTTGAGGAATTCATTTTAGTTTTGTGAATTTATGACAAGCTCAGCAAACTTCTGGATCATCCATTTTATGCAGTAAATTCATTAGTTTTAAATTTATTTAAGCTAAATTATGTATCCGAATGGGAGTTTGTGGAGATTGTAATAATTTGATAGTTAAAGCTAGGCCGGTAATCACTGTTTAGAAATGTCATCATACATATTGGATATTTACAGGTGTATTTAAAACAAATTGTTGTTAAACCGCGACACGGCTTCTTGGTTTTGTTTATGAATCATTATTATTGATGTTTAGTAGTGGTAGTTTGGTGTGTGCTACTCATATCGACAGATATAAGTAGTATGTAACACTAAAGTGGAATGCCTGGTTGCAGATGGTTAAGAAGATCGAATAGAAAAAACGGGAACAGTGAGTGATTGGTATGGAAATGAAGTAACAACAAAGTCTGAGACAGTTGATGGATATTTTTGCAAATAAAATACCAAATGTATGGTATTCATGTTTCATCAAATAACTCTGTAATTTTGTATCCACCTACAACTGGTTGCTACCACTTGTAATCTCGTTCACTACAGTGGTAGTAGAAGAGAAAGTAAGACTTCCTAAAATGAGCAATAATCATAAGGAATCAGTAGAGTATTTATGCATGGATGTTTAGTGTAGACCACCTTACTTCTCTTCGATTTTTTCTTCAATAATCGTACAGTGTGAATCAAGACCAGTAACTGCTGCACAGACAGCTGTCATTAATAAATTTTTATTTTCTTTCTTGTTTGATTTACCCCAACCAACAAGTCGTTTACCATTTGTTGGTGTTAAACTCTTTATTATCTAAAATGTAATTGAAGTGTATGGAAAAAGAGTGAATTATTAATTAGGATCTTTTCTGGATCATAATTACGAATCAGAAACAAATGGAAGTAGGAAATTCTAATCATTATTTTCTTGTAAAACTACCATAAAGATTTTAAATGGTATCTTTCAAATGATTGATTGATGGATAGTATTGTGATACTGTCCTAACTGTAAGCTTCTTGTTGAATCATTAACTATTACAATAAGTGAGGATAACTACCTTTCTTCAATGTTCATTAGAAATGAGATATCTGGCATTGTCGAGTACTTTCCCTTTCATTTATTGTATCAGTGAGGGACACAAGGCATGATTTTCATTAGAAGTTTCTTCTCAATCATTTAGAAATCTTTATATATGTCTTCTCTGAACAAGACACTGTGGGGTGTATCCCGAATAATCATATGAAAAAGCAACTGAGTTGGAATTTGGAACCTGAAATCCTCAAATCTTTAATGAAAATTATGCTCATGCATCCAGTACTCAATGAGTGAATGGACTGGAAAATTCCGGAAAACACTTGGCACTGAACACATAGTAAACACTGAAAAATGAAGGCGCTGTAAATTCGTAAACATGTAACCTACCCTATCATTATGCCTTTTTCCATTCATAAATTGCAGTAAATTAGTTATGAACGTAATATGTAAACGTTTTGCCAAAACGATCCTAATTATTTACATAGTTTGATTTATTATTTATAGTTCATAATGGACTTGTATTACATTTATATAATCACTGAGAAATAATACAATGTAATCGGATGGGTTTCTGTTGTTCAAACTGGGAAATTGGGAAATGGTGAGAAATTTGACGTGAGTAGTCAAGCGATTGTCGTATATGGTAACTCAGTTAGCGGACCACTAACCAGTGGGACAAAAGAAGTAGAAAGGAAATTCATTACAGTAGTACTTAACTGAAAATTTTAATTCACTTCATAGAGATAAACGACTCTTATCAATATGATTTGATAATGATGATGAGTTGATTAAAGCTGACAGTTGTAAATTATGGATTCTGAAACATTGACTAAATATTAATTTGTTAGACAAATGACGTAAACATCAGCATATCTAGATCATGTATTACACTGAGTCTCGAATAAGTTTAAAATGTTATTCAGTGATCTTGTTTCTTTATTGATTATCCAATTGACATCAACTTTTGGATTTGGACGCATGTTTTTCGCTAATCAGTTTACTGAAAAAAATCGTAAGTGCTAAGGGAAAACGACTATTAAATCTTAAAGTTATATAATTTTTTTGAAATTAAAAATGATGCACTGAAAGTAATAATTTAAAAGTGTAATGGTTTGTTTTTCAGGTGATTTACTGGCTTCTCAGTGAAATGAACTAATGAGTTTAATGGGTTCAGATCTTCCTTATATGAAAGCCACTCCATATATGTTAACATTTAATCTTTATATCTCTGAAGACAAAGTTGTCCTCATATTATGTTCCTGGTTATCTTAGGTAATTCCTGCCTACGAACGGTCAGATAATTCATCTAATACAGAACGTGATATGCATGCTCAATATACTGGATAACCAACACCCCACAACACTCCAACGTTTATAATCGATACGCAAATAAAACCAAGAGATTTGTAAGGAAGATGCATTCAGTAACAACAACAAGAAGATTCTCAATTTCAATCCAATTCCAACCAATAACATACGGAAAATTACAATGAGTTCATTGATATAATGAAAATATATTGAAAATGGAATAAACTAGCTTCATATCAAATGAATTAATACAGATGAAAACGTTAATCGATGAGAAAAACTTGACTACGGTTTGGGTTTTAAAACTGATTTCTTTCTAAATGTTGTATTTTGGGACTTAGTATCCCTAACACAACAAAATCAACAATTTCAGCTGTTTTGCCCTTCATTTAGTGAGTGTGTTGCATAATAGACTATTCCTTATCAACGATTTCATTTAGAGCTCTAACTTTTATTATATTTATGTATACCATTAGGTCTGTCATGTTGCACTACACCGAACATATTTATAGCAGATAGTTGAGAATAACTCCAGTAATCTGTCTCATTCACTTTCTTTTAAGTCAAATAGTGTATGCGTTCTTGAATATGAGACGTGCACAAAAGTTATAAATGTGACTAGTGACTAGATTCAAAAGATAATTCTTGGAGTTCTGGTGAGAAGCCTTGACCAGTAGAGTTGAACCGTGTCGGGTGTGAAGCAAAGGATGATGGTCGAGCAATATCGAAGATTGGTTAAAATCAGACATTAACACTGTTGGATCTCGTAACAATGGTCTTGAGGTTAAGCATTCGCACGAGACCGAAGGTCCTGGGTTAGATTCTCACATGCGGTATCATGAATGCGCATTGGTGACGAGATTCATACTAGGACGATATAACTGTGCAATCCTTCTCAGTTTTAAATAATATCCTGAAATTGATCGGTTTATGATCTCAATTAAATGTTAAGTTAGTTAAATAATGAATAGGTCGTTCTGTTATCAGCTACTCTAATATCTGACAATTCATATCTCAATAAGTTTCATAGTAGATTGTTTTCAATCATAACCATTATTATTCATTAGTTTACGTATAAAACTTGATTTTAACGTGATATACAAGGAAGTCTATGAACATTCTAAAAATACTCGTATAGTGGTATTTGTTTTCTTGTAAAGTTCTTTTCATGATTCTGTAATTCATCAATTATTTTTACAACTACCATGTGGTTTATTATTAATTAATTAATATTAATTACATTCTTTTTCACAGATTGAAATCATGTGTCAATTGAAGCTAGACTACCATGGAAAACCTGGAAGCACTGGACGGCCGTTTCGTCCTGGCATGGGACTCCTCAGCAGTGTGCATCTACGATCACGCACCCCGCGAAATTCGAACCCAGAACCTATCACTCTCGCGCGCGAGCGCTCAACCAACTAGACCACTGAGTTTGAATCTCGTAGGGTGCATGACCGTGGATGCGCACTGCTGAGGAGTCCCATACTGGGACGAAACGGCCGTTCAGTGCCTCCAGGTTTCCCATGGTAGTCTAGCTTCAAATGACTCATGATTTCAATCTGTGAAATTCTTTTTCATTAATTTAACAACTAAGTAAATTAGTCGATAGTAGTTAGGTTCAACTAGAGAAAACAAGTTATCAAAAATGTGATCTGGACATTAGGTAGACAATTTGAATTTTAATAAAGTTCTGTTCAACTAATTTTAGGCTTATGATTTATATGATACAATGACCTCGGTTTTTATTTGAGTCAATTATATGATGACCATCTACAGAAAGCTTTAGATATAATTTTTTTATAAAAATAATAATAATTATTACTATTTGTCTATGAATTCAAGATATTCTACGTGTTTTTAATGTGTAAGGTTACACTACTAATGTGATGTGAGCTACTTATATCTACACAAGTAGTATATAACGATTGTCAGGAATAGAATGCATTTCAGTAGAAGGTTGAAAAAGAAAAAAACGGAAACGGAAAGTAGGTGGTATGAAAATGCAGAAGCAATGAAATGTGAGACAATGGATTGATATTTAACAAATTAAGCATTTACTGTATGGTTCTCAGATTTTAGTAAGACGTTCTGTGATTCTGTATTCAAATACTTTTATTTATCCTCACTTGTTCATCACACTAAAATTGCAGGTTTCTGCTATGTAGATGAACTGATCACTATAGAGTAGTTCTTTTTCGATACGATAAAAATAGTGTAGACTAATGAGCATTCTCAAAAATAGGACGAAACACTTCACACGTAACCTTAGAAATGGTGACATTATTGATAGTTAATAAGTATTTAAGCTTTTAACTATTACTTTGTTACATAAACTGTCTAATGTAGAGCACTAAATAATGTATAACTTAGTATTAAAATAACACTTATGAATTAAACCAAATGTTTCAGTTGTTTGATTCTGTTTATTATGAATTTTTAAGTAAATGAACATATCAATATAGTGTTCAACATCAATTCTGACCTGCTTTTGTTGTTCATTAATCTTTTTTACAATACTTATTACACGATTACCGCCTTGAATTAATTTGCCTAAACGTTCTTCAAAAGTTGATAGTTTTCCAATTTGATTGCCTAATTCACGAAATTTTTCTTCAATAAATTCTGTATCTGGACCAAATATAGGTCCAATTCCTTCTAACAAAGATCCAGGCTCTCCGGTAACATCTCTATGAACACTGGTACCACCGGAAACTAAACCTTTCCCAGCTGCTCCTGCTGCAGCAGATCGTAATACAATTGCATGTGTATCACCATGTGATCTTCCTGTCCATTTACGACCACCGCCTACATCTGTATCAGCTTTAATTCGTCGAGTACCCATCATATGCTCCCATTTAGTTAGTTTGCTATCTAATGTTGGATTGGTGTGTAGACTTCTACCTGTAAAATAATATAATTCAGTGAATGATATTAAGCACCGTAAAGATTTTAGGAATTTAATTTAAAATTTCTGTAGGTCCATGAATATAGATAAAATTTTATGAGTTTAGTTCCAATCAAGCGTTGATTTATTTGAAATCTGTCATTTCCCGTTGGAAGTCTTAAGTTTAATCGATGGGCCTGTTAAAATAATCACCAATTAAGATCAATATGTTTCCTTACATTTTATGTGCATACAACAAATTAAGATGACATTTCAATGTTAACAGCTTCGTAACCGCTGATGATTTCATGAATCGAAACGAGTTAGCTAACAATCAAAGCTGGTAAAGAGACAATTTCTTAGTGAGTTATTTAATATAAACTACTTAAATATAGTTGTGAATAGTAAATGTTGATGTATTGTGCTAGTTAAACTATATAAAGCTTTGCAAGAAACTTTTGAGAAATAACTTGAACTACGTATAAGTAGTATGCAACGAATAAAAAATAAGAAAGCGTTTAAAATATCGATTTAAATTTAAGAGATTTATATTCACTAACAAAATGGATCATCATCTTTGATCTCTTCAATAGCATGATCAAATAAAGTACCGCCAATTAAACTGAATAAGAATCCAGTAAATTCAACAGAATACCAAAGTAACATAAATGGTGCTGCAACAGATGGTCTATCAACAAATTCTTGTATCATTTCATAACGTTGATAACACCAAAAATATTGAGCAGATCCTTCGATTTCGTTATATGTTGAACTTAAAAAAGACAAATGAATGTAATAAAATACATTTATATAAATATCAAAAAGATATAGTGTTACACATTGTCAAAGTCTACTAATGTTTGTTAAGCGTATACTACTTATAAATGTACTGAAATAAAAATGTCGTATATTAATTTGTCAAGGCTTATATTTTTACGTTATCATTGTTAAAAATACAACTTGCTGATTAGCCTCTTCTGGAATATTTACATCTTGAGAGGATTACTATGATAATGAAATGTAATTACAAGTTTTTATTAAAGTTGGATAATGAGTCGCAGTGAAATTCAGATGCTCGTTTCGTCCTATTTGGTACTTCCAATTAGATATATCTGTATCCCATTTCTAATGAACATGTTGGGAATCGAACGCAGTTTCTTTCACATTAAAGCCTATTGCGTAATTCATTGAATAATCATGTTTAGGTATCTACTAACTTGTGAGATGAGTTATATGACAACGCAATCAGAAAGTTGACTAAAATGACGAATTAAATCTTATTCTGAGAATTCATAGTAATACTTGTTCACTATAGTTCATTTTTTGGCAGTTTTGAGTTGACTTTAGAATTTACCTACTTAAATAATGACTTTTTTGTGAAGAAGAAAAATCTAAAATTCAGAAGGTGCGATTAGGAAAACAATAAATAATCTACTATGTTCTATGTAGTTATAAAGTAATTTATAGGAAAACGTGACCATCAGTACCTTTAAGAGGTTTATCACTTCCTAGATAACTGAGAAATCATGTTTCGAAACATATTATAGTAGTGAGTATATTTTTATTTTCTAATATAGAAATACAATTTGAATCATGTCAGAAACTTCACAAATGTTTTCATCTTTCCGACTGATTATTCATCAAGTATAAATTACAATATCTTAATGTTTTAATAATGAATAGATCTGTATCTTCGTATCTTTGTTATATCTCTCAAATAGAGACAAGCGGTTTTTCCAAGGAGGAGTTTTTTCTACTTCTCTTTGAAGTTTGTGCTGATGATGTCGTCCAGAAGAACGATGAAAGCTCCACGACCAAACCATCTAGCTCAGAGAACAAAACTCCATCGAAATCATCCACCTGAGGTACAAATCTCCTCACCATCTCATGAACTACTATTTTTTGAAATTTTTTGATAAAATGTTTATCTTTGTTGGCTGATAAAATATTCTGAGAGAAATGAACTTCAATGTAAGAGAAGATACATTCCTACTTATTGAACCATTTTGATCCAACTTAACTATGTAATCATTAAAAGTTGTATTTTAAAGTTCACATCACATATTGACCTCAGTTAAGTGATCACTATTGAAGAGTCTTACAACTAGACGAAACAACTGTCCAGTGCCTCCTGGTTTTCAATGGTTGTCTAACTTAGCTCACTTTAAGGATCAAATTATGGAAATCAACACTCTCCGTAAACCCAATGAACTTAAAATGGTATAATTAATTTTGTATTAGTTATTTGGATCTTGCCATTAGCTTTTAGGACTATAATTGACAGTCTCTTTTGGCATATGTGCATTCTGTGAGGATGTATCGACATTGCCTTAAGTAACAAGCATTGTAAGCAGAGGTGAATGGTGGCTAGCAGTGGAATCTATGATGCATGTGTTGTTCTATTTGGGGCTTGACGGTCGATGTACCTGCACTCCGGGACTCGAACCCAGTATCCTTCGCCTCAAATGTCATCACGTTATCCACCTTGGTACTGAGTCCAGATAGCCACTAGATTATGTAATGGGATGCCGGCACATCTAGCTGACGAGTCCCAAATAGAACGAAACTCGCATACTGGATTCCACTGCTAATCATCACCTATCTTCGCCTAAAATGATATGTTTATTGAATTGTGTACTGTTCATGTTGTATCGAGATCCGACGCTTTACACATTTACCCTCAGGCAAGATTTTGTACTGTTATTATTCAGTGTACATATATAGTAGTTTTTAGATAGAATCATGTCAGAATATTTGTGATGTTCGTATTTATGGTCTATTCGTAAAGGATCATATCTTGTTCCATTATTTATAATCAAGATTGAATTTTCATCTCTCTTTGTTGACATTCTTTCATCTTGAATGGATTACCTTAATAATAATAATAATAACAATAATAATAATAATGCATAAAATCTAAAGTTCCCAAAGAGGATTATGCTAGCATGTCAGATTTTATTATATAGATTTATAGAGAAATAAAGGTCTATATTCAAACAACTGACACATAAATTAGAGATGATGGAGAAGATCTGTAACTCAGATGGATGATTACCGTAGAGCTTTATTATCTGAGCTGGATAGTTTAACTATGAAGTTTTCATTGCTTCTCTGGACATTATCAATACAAACTTTAGGTAAACGTGAGGTATTTAAAGACAAGCTGTGAATCATATATTCCAAAAGGTGGGTAACTCACTTCTACATGAAGTTTGTTATGATAATGTCATCCAACAGAACAATCAAAGCCTCACAACTAAAATATTCAGCTCAGAGGATAAAGCTCCACCAAAAAAATGATACATTTTCTCGGTGCAAAATTCAGAAATATTCAAAAATATCTTCTTTTCCTACATTTTGAAACTTACGTGAATGTTGCAACTAATAAATTGAACATAAGTACTTGAGTTAATAATATAAACGCACTTAACATAATTATAGTTAAACGACGTGATGAAGTTTGTGGACACATTCCATTGTCACGACAAGATGAACCTATTGAAAATATTAAAAAATAAGTCATTATATTGTAGCCCACTATCTAGAAAATGTTTTAGATAGATACAAATATTTCACTAGTAAATTATTCACAAACATTTAGTATACTCCCATAGAGTATGATTTTAATGAGATTCAACAATCTCCACAACTTCTCAGCGCCCAAATTCTGTGAAACTATTCGATCAAATTTAGACGAAAGTTCTTATTTATAACTCTTTACTTACATTAATATTTGTCTTAAACTTTTCACTCATTAGCCTGGTATACTGTTCAAACGTCAATTACTGATTAAAACGTTAAGATTTATCTGTGATTCTAAAAGGAAAGTTACCACTTTCAAGAGTGATCTAGTACTTTGAGACTGAAACAGTACTTATACTTCTAAAGGTTAACTTAATTTATACTATACATCGGAAATACGACGAATTTAATAAATATCTACTGGTTCCTTAAATACCTGAAATCCTGATGTAATCATTATTGAAGCTGTTTGTATATAGTATGTTAACTACGTAAGTTGATTATAAACTTCTGTGAAATCCTTTTATGAGGTAAAAAGTCCGTTAATAATCACACCCCATCATTATTTTGATTTTGAATACATTTCTTACACTCATATGTACTTCGGTCACTAATATTCTCTATAATATTATTTCAATGGTTAAGATCATGAGTCAGTTGAAGCTAAACCACCATGAAAAGCCTGGAAGCACTGGACGGCCGTTTCGTCCCATTGCGGGACTCCTCAGCAGTGCACATCCACGACCTCGCCCCCTGCGAGAATCGAATCCAGGACCTACTGGTTCCGCGCGCGAGCACTTAACCACTAGACCACTTTTGCTGAAATTATATTGAGTGGTGAAAATGATAATATAATAACAATCCAGTATTAGTATTTAAAAGAAATACTGAATAATTATTCTGTCTCTTTCTCTCTCTCTCTCTCTAAGCTTAAATATGTTCTTTATATTTAGAAACTAAAATTAACAATGAAACAACAAAAAAGAAGAATTATTTGAGCTGCTTACCATCTCCAGCTAAATCGTCTAAACGAAATTCACCCAACATTTGAAAATAAGATGTCATAATTACATCATAAAGACTACGTATTCCAGGTTTAGACTGATATGTTGAATTTATAGCTATGATAAAGAAAATTCAAATGAAAGCATGTATATAAATACATCTGATTAAGAATATTTAGGATACTTAGATAATTTGTACAATACTTGAATTTTAAATATGCATACATCACTATGACGAATTGGATACTAATCAATCTCATATCTAAATATTATTTAAAATCAGAAGGGGATTTGTGGATATTAAACTGATTTTAATAGTTGAGATCATGAGTCAATTAAAGTTAGATCACCATGGAAAGCCTATAAGCATTAGACGTCCGTTTCGTTCTACTGTGGGACTCCACAGCAGTGCGAATCCACGATCCCGCTCCAGCGGGATTCGAACCCGAAACCTATCAGTCTAACACGCGAGCGCTTGACTATTAGACCACTGAGCCGGCCGGCATCCAACGGTGTTATTATCTAACTTCGACTAATCTCAATTTCATGGATTAGTTATTATTTATTCGAAAATTATGTCGATCATTACTACTGGAAGTAAAAAAGAAATCCTAATTTAAATACTGTCCAATGAAAATTGTATTACTTTTTTCGAATGACATTAACTAAATTTTACCACTGATAATAAAAACTGAAAGAATATTTGTCATTATTATCATTCAATTATCAATAATATTATAAAAACAAATATTCTATAGAGAAATTTCATTGAGTTTTATCACTACTGTTTTGAATGCTACAGATTTTCTTTAAATATCAAAAGACGAAAAAGCTGAGCTAAATGAGTCCCAGAAAGTAAATAATGCATATCCTAGGACCTATAGACACCTAGTACAGCAAATACCAATTATTGTCGAGAAAGATCATTCATTGGGGGGGGGGTCATGTGTAAATAAGGATTTATCGATTAGATTATAAACGTTTACAACAGCAAAACTCAAACATCAACAACTTATATTTAAATTTGTTTTACAATCCTTTTAAAGAATGGTGAACAAGATGTAACAATATTTAGAGTTCAGTTTTAAGGTTAGAACTTAGATGTTGACATTGAAGAATTACTCAGAATACAGTTTTCGAGTCATCGATTTTCTGTCTCTGTAGTCAACTAAATCATGTTACGGAACATTTTTCTGTAAAGATTAAGTCATTGTCCATACAGAGAAATTTTATAGTCCCATAGAATTCAGTAATCCTAAAGCTAAGTTTTTAATTTACACTATGTATGTATCCAAACAATAATTTTTTTCAAAAAATGTGTTTAAATGTATATTTTCACGTTCTGACAAGATTATCTCAAGGCCGTTCTATTGATCTCTTGAAACGCTTCGCTGGTTTCAGTATAAAGTCACATATTCATGGACGAAAATGTTTTTTAAAATCAAATACATTGAGTTTACTGAAAAAGACGTTTTAATTTCATCTACTTATTTCTGATACTAACCAGAATAAGAAGAGGTTTTGTGGATATTTTAGCAATTTAATGGTTGAATTCATGAGTCTATTAAAGCTAGATCAACATGGAAAACTTGCAAGCACTGAACGGCCGTTTTGTACTAATCTTGGACTCCTCAGCAGTACGCATCTACGATAACGCTCGCGGGATTCGAGCCCAGGATCTAGGACATTAACACCGTTGGATGCCGGCTCATTGGTCTAGAGGTTAAGTGTTCGCGCATGAGACCGATGTGTCCTGGATTGGAATCTCGAGTGGCGGGATCGTGGATGAGCACCGCGGACGAGTCCTATAATTGGACGAGTTGGCCGTCCAGTGCTTCCATGTTGGTTCAGCTTTAATTGACTCATGAATTCAACTATCAAATTACCAACCAGAATATGAAAAAAAATCATTTCATTCAAACCACCCAACTCAGGGAACATAGGACTACTAGCATGCATTCACTCAGGGTACAAATTGGTTATCGTTTTCAAAAAAATTCATTTGAAATTTTCAGCCTTTAATTACTTTTTCATTCATGGCAAACTTACTCATCTTTTCTTGTTCATAATCACTGTAGTAACCATTGGCGAATGAAATTGATTGAAATGCGATCCCATATCCAATTTGACATACCAAAAGAATGAGTAGAAATGGTAGGAGATCATGAACCACCTAATATTATTCAAGAATGTAAAAAATAACACACAAATCATGATAATTCCATATTAGTTAAGCAGGTTTTCATCTAACTTGATAGGTGCTGAAATCTGTATATTATATTTGTTACAGATTCATCTCATTTGAAATATCATCGAAAATCCAAGAGCATTGGACAAATGTTTAGTCTTAATTGGGAATACTAAGCAGTCTACATCTTAGTTCTCCCCCATACAATGAGTCAGATCCGGGATTCTGTTCAATTCTCTTTTCAATAATACAATTTAAATTTCAATCAATTTTTGAATACAACGTGCAAACTACATCAGTTTTCAATATGAGGTTGTGGAGATTGTTGAATATCACTGAAAGCGTGAATCAATCTAACTTGAACTAACATTAAAAACCAGGAAATACTGGACAGCCGTCTCTTCCTAGTATGGAACTCCTCAGGAGTGTGCTTTCTCAGTCCCTCACGGCAGTTTAGTGCTTCCAGATTTCCAATGAAGGGCTAACTTAGATTTCTTCATGATTTTAATGTCAATCAACCTTCAAAAACGTCTCTAACTAAATGTTAAAATAGTAAAGTTCGAGATTAAAAGGTATGTGCAGATATTTTGTGTTGTTTATCGCTCAGAAGTACTTTCTCAGTAGTGTGATGCGTGCTACTTATATTGACATAAGTAGTATATAACGCTAGTCAGGAATGTAATGTCTGGCAGCAGAAGATTGGGAAGATCAAGAAAGGAAGAACGGGAATAGAAAGCAATTAGTATAAAAATGCAAGAACAATTAAGTCCGAGACGATTATTGAACATTTTGCAAATTGGGTATTATATAGTATGGTTTTTCTATTTTACCAAGTAACTCAGTAATGTTGTGTTAAATATAATTCGGTTGTCCTCATGTATGTTCTCCTTCACTACAGTAGCATCTCAGTTAATATTGCTAATAATACTATGTTTTGAGAAGACCAACTGGAAAAAATGTATAATACTGTCATTATAGTTTGAATAAATGTGTCAAGTAAATTAAAATAATTGAAATACTCATAAGTGAGTTAAATGTTTCGGAACTTAGTTTAAACTACAATCTAAATACTTTCATTTGAAATACAATAGTAATTTAACTGATATTTGACAATAATACGATGTTTTAATCAGGAGTATAAAATGATCATTTAAGAGTCATTCCACATACAAACATTAAGGTATTGTGAATAATGGATTGTGGTTAACAGTGAATTCCAATGTGTATATTTCTTCTTATTTTAGGCTCATTACCTAAATGTATCAGGATCCAGTTGCTGTTGTTGTTGTTGTTGCTGTTTATAGTAAGACTTCCTTGCTAAAAGCATTTCATCTATTTTAAACAACTTTCATATAATGGTGATATTATGGAAATCCATTTAGAATTCATAGATTCTAACAAGTACTAATCAGAATGTAATTATGATTATCAACAATACAATAACTCGAATACCTACTAATAATGATATTAAAGTATTTGATTAAGAGAGTCAAAAGCTCAATCGGTTCTAATGTCTATCAATAAATTCTTTTTTTTGGATTTTGTCTTTAAAAAGAATTCCAATTGTATCTAATACTTAGTACGTATAATAACAATTGGCTTAATCAGTTAGTAACGAGTTATAACTTGAATGTAGTATGTAATGTCGGTTATTATGTTAAGCCCATATATCTTATTCTAGCTTTCGGACAGCCCATTCTATTCATTCTACTTGAGTCACATCCTAACCTTGTTAATTATTCGCTTATCAATCTTGGCTGTTTTTATATGAGCGCGTAGGTGTGTGTATACTTATTTTTGTGTAACTATAAATATTGATTAACGTTTGGTTAAAGGGGAGTTGGTTAACCCGCCATCTCCACTGCGCGTCGTTTTGCTTTGTTCTATTCCATTCGCTTCAAATACAAAAGACGATTCTCGTTATTTGACTTATTTAATTCCGTTACTGACTAACGCGAATAAAGTCGATGATTATATACGAGGATAGGCGACATATATATTTCAACAACAATCATCATTACGATCACCTTGGAGTCAGATCTCGGGCCATTAAAGTGGAGAGCCCTTTCGATAACATCGTCCGATCTAAATGACGATTAAATAATGGGCCTCCACAAGTAAAATGATTAAAATGTTTTTCTTATAACAATTAAAGGTCATCGAGGTGTAAAAAATAAATAAAGTGATATCATGAGCAATTATGAATAATAGAATGAGAATATGAGACAAGAGTAAAGGGAGGAATGCAGTAATAATAATAATAATAATTAAGGCCAAGGTAATGATAACGATAAGACGTACTTCATTTGTATGCATAGTTCTACCTTGAGCTCATGGATTGTAAAAGCTTTAGCTATTATTATTATTACTTCATTCCCCCTTTTACTTTTGTCTCATATTCTCATTATTTTATTCATAATTGATCATGATATCACTTTATTTATTTTTTACACCTCGATGACCTTTAATTATTGTGAGAAAAACATTTTAATCATTTTACTATATTCAAGTTATAATTCGTTACTAACATATTAACTCTATTGTTGTTAAAATAACCCATATTGTCATTTTATGCACTGCTTAGGCATTGGCAATCTACGAACTCAAGCCTGAACTTTGCGTACAGAAACAATTCGTCCAACCCTTTATCCTTCCTTGGCCCTAATTCCCTTTATTGTTATGTGTTTCGCGTATTTTTTTCCTTCTTCACTTTTATTTGATTATTATTGGTTTTCAGTTTTAAACTCATACAAATTTGCTTGGTTATTATTCAGTTTATTATTATGCCCTTTATATTTGTCGTTTTTGTTTCTATTGTTATTATTCGTATTACGTAATCTACTATTATAATCTTTCTATTACGTAATCTTGGTTATTCCTTGTTCACATTTTCTTATAGAACTAGTACTTTAACAAAAAAAACCCTTCATATCCATTATTTTCAAGTATGAAAATTTACAATTCTCAATATTAGCATGTGATAAAAAAAAGATGTAAAACAGAGAATTGAATTGTTTCTATAGTATCCATTGAATAACCATAAGGAATTTCATATAACCACTTCCCTTTTATGAAATTGAATGAAATAAGAAAAATAATTGGAAAAAACAAATAATAAATGAAAATTTATTGTACTTTAATTATTATTTTTAATTCATTTAAACACAATGGAAATTATTTTTTGATTGAGATCATGAACCGATTGATGTTAGACCACCTTTGGAAACCTGGAAGCATTGGACGGCCGTTTCGTCCACGATTCCGGTCGCAGGATTCGAACCCAGAGCCTTCGGTCTCGCGCGCGGACGCTTAACCTACTGGACCACTGAGCCGGCATCCAATGGTGGATGCGCACTGCTGAGGAGTCCCACAATGGGACGAAACGGCTGTCCAGTGCTTCCAGGTTTCCAAAGGTGATATAACATCAATCGGTTCATGATCTCAATCAAAGACTTAGTAACCTCCACAAACCCTGTACAATGAAAATTAATCGATTAATTGATTATTGATTTAATTGATGAGTAGAAATGTTATACCTTTGTTGAAGCATCCCCTTACAATAAGATAATTTATCATGAACTGTAACAACCTGAAGTAACGCACATTTAATACAGATGGTAGATAGTTTTTTGGTCATTCTTTTACAGTTTAAATGTATTAGTATAGATTACATCACAGACTAATTTAGTCTAATAACCATTAAAATCAGAAAGTACTGGATAACTGCTTTGTTCCATTATGAAATCCCCTGGCAATGAGGATCCACTATCCTGCTACAAGTAATCGAATTCCGAGCTCATAGGTTTTGTAGTGAGTGGTTAACTTTTAAAACACAGGTGAAAACTGTAAAATCGGTGAGACTGTGATTTATGGACGATCTATTATCAACGCTAAAATGACCTTGAGAATATTCATCTACTAATGAGGAGTAAATGAAGGTTATAAACCAGTTTGAGGAATTAGAATTAAGATATTCAATTGTTGGTTAGGGTTAGGAATTAGACAATATTTGCATCACGAACTGACATCAGCTATAATGTTAAAACGCTTTTTAGCTAAATGGATAAAATGAATTTCACGCTAAAACTCAAGACCTGTTATCTTATATCTGATTGATTTGTCCATAAATTATAGTCTCGCCGTAAAATCTATCAATCCCTAAAACCTCTTTGTAGTAATAATTTAGTGTAGTTTTACGAAAAGCTTCGTTTTTCATCCGTTTATCACCAATTGAAGTTGATGAAACTCATCAAACAAGAAAATAGAGTTAGCACACTTTCACTATACTGGCAGTTTGATTTTTCAAGGAGTATACTTGTTTGTTTATTTGTAAAGAAAAACTTATATTTTACCATACATCAAAAATTAAAAAAAACATTTTCTGTATAAATAATTAATGATTTGATAGTTAAATTCATGAGTCAATGAAACCTAGACCACAATGGAAACCTGGAATCACTGGAAAACCATTTCAGCAACTATTAAATTACTATCATATTTACAAAACCCCTTTCTGATTATAATTATTGATTTGTAAACTCATCCAACAATATTTATAAATTAAATAACTTTCATTGAAACTATACTGAAGCAAAATATTCTCTTATAAGCAAAGATGGATAGTGCCTAGCAGTGAAATTCAGGACACGTTTGTAGCTAAGTGGATAACGGGATGGCGTTCGAAGTGAACGATATTGAGTTCAAGTCCCAGAATGAACATCAAATCTGAGATTCAATTACATCCATCTGACAAGTCCCAAATAGGACAAAACCCACATTCTATATTCACATTGCTAGTCACTATCCATCTTTGCTTATAATACTTGTGAATGAAAGCAATATTAAGGCAATATCCACAGTCTACAAACATATGCCAACAAGAGACTGATCAATTACTATTCTCAACTTACCATTCTATTAATCATAATTAATTTTGGTCCAAGTACAATACTAAAACTAAAAATATACATTAATCTTACATAAAATGCAAATAAACTAAAGGCAAAAAATATACGTGATATAGTAAATAATTCATTAGATATTATATAATATGGTAAATCTGGTGTCCATTGATTCAATGTATAACCATAACCACTAAATATTTGTAAATTTTCAATTGTTTTAATTGCTTTCATTAATTGAATTGTTCAATAGATAAATTGAATGAATTATTGATTAAATTATATTGATTAATATAATAATTATTAATATTTGTTTGATTATGTAATAATTGTAATTGTATTGAATCATTGAAATGAATCAATAAATGATTATTATTATTATTATGATTATTTAATTGATAAATTTGTTCATTAATTAAATTATAATAAGCATGAATTTTAACACTTAAACCAATTATATATAAACTGATTGCAAGACAATCTAATTTATTCCAACCATCACTAATATATTCTTTTAAACTTGAACCAGGACTGAATGCCTATAAAGAAATAAAATGGTAATAATAATAATAATAATAAATAAATAAATAACAATATATTACATAATCTATGAAATAATACCAAGGTAATAAATAACAATTTTAATAGTTGTGATTATGAGTCGGCGGCCTATGCTCCACTAGGTGTAACATCCGTAAGTAAGTAAGTAAGTAAGTAAGTAAGTAAGTAAGTAAGTAAGTAAGTAAGTAAGTAAGTAAGTAAGTAAGTAAGTAAGTAAGTAAGTAAGTAAGTAAGTAAGTAAGTAAGTAAGTAAGTAAGTGAGTAAGTAAGTAAGTAAGTAAGTAAGTAAGTAAGTAAGTAAGTAAGTGAGTAAGTAAGTAAGTAAGTAAGTAAGTAAGTAAGTAAGTAAGTAAGAGACTATGAGTCAATTGAAGCTAGACTATTTATGATTTTAACTATTAAAATTACAATATTATATACAAAAAAAACCTTTCTGATATCATTCAACATATGCTCACTAGTGATTGGTTTCAAGAGGTATTTCATGGAGTTCTAATGAGAAGCAGTGACTAGTAGAGTTCAACTGGGTCTGTTTTGAGATAGTCACTCATTGAAGACAATAGTGGATGTGTCACTCAAGTTCATGGATTCATTGAAGATAGACATCTTTAGACACCGTTGGATGCTAGCCGGCTTAGTGGTCTAGTGGTTAAGCGCTCGTGCGCGACATTGATGGATCCTGGGTTTGAGTCTTGAAGGGGACGGGATCATGGATGTGCACTGCTGAGGAGTGCCGTACTAGGAAGGAACGACCGTCCAATGCTTTCAGGTTTTCCATGTTGGTCTAGCTTCAATTGACTCATGATCTCAACTATTAAAATAACAGTTTGTTTAACTGAATATTGAAGTATTAATCAAAGATTTCTTAAAATGACTTTAACGGTTTAAATCTAAATGGTTTAAAATTTGTTGTGAACAAGTAAAACTTGTAATTCATCAACAAATTGAACAGTATGAATTCAATTGTTGATTTTTTTGTTAATGACAAAAAGTGAGAGCTACTACAACCAAGTGTCATTGGCTTTACTGACAAACTAAATGAGTAGTCTATTAATATCTTGTAATTCATCTCCTCTTCAAGTTAATACTCCTGATAGTCATGAAAATGTAATGTCAATTATGTAACAAATAGTTGGGCAAACAAATTTTTTATTTGTTTACTATTCTAGATGTTTATAAAATTTTAAAAAATATGATAACCATTTTTTCACAATAAATTTCTTAATCATTCCGTGTTTACTCTATAGTTAATTTTCATAGTTGTTTTATAGTCATCACTAAATGAACTTGGGTAACTATTTGAAACTTGGAAAGACTGGGTGGCTTTTTTTCTGGTATGAGACTCTTCAGCAATGTTAATCCACAGCCTCATTGAGAGTCGAATCCATGACCTTCAGTCCTAGCTACTAGCTTTTAACTTTCAGAACACTGAGTCGATATCCAATGGTTGTTGCATCTAACGCCAGTCAACCTGAGGCATTACATAACTATCATCTATCGTTGTTGATAATATTTGTCTCATTTTCATGGTTAAACACTGTTGACCTCATCTTTACACTAGAACTCTGAAAATTATATTTTGCAGTTAGACATAGGCAACCACATCATCAATTTCAGTATGAGGAGTCGAAGAGATTGTCAAAATTTGAGACCGATGAAAACCAAGAATTATTGAACAGGTGTTTTGCAGTAGTGTGAGACTCTTCAACAGTGCACATTTGCAGGCTCACAGCGGATAAGTGATTTTTGCTATATATAACAATGAATGTCCTCGATATCAGGTATATTAACAAAAACTTTATTCTAAGTTTGTTACATCATCGCCTAAATATAATGAATGAGAGGCAAAATAAATGGTAAGATTTAGTCTGGCCTTTCAGTTTATGATCCATAACTTTCCTAATTCTGGCTAGTAAATACAATTTTCAACTAATGATCATTGTAAATCAGATTTATATCATCCATTTTGATCAACAGTATATAATTTTTAAGCAAAGATGGAAATTGGCTAGTAGTGGAATCCAGAACGCGCGTTTCGTCCTATTTAAGACTAGTCAACTGGATATACCTGAGCCACCTACTCAGTAGCTAAGTGGATAACGTGATGGTGTTTCAAGTGAATGATATTGGGTTCGGGTCACAGAGTAGGTTGAAACGGCCGTCCAATACTTCCAGGTTTTCCATGGTGGTCTAGCTTCAACTGACTCATGATCTTAACCATTGAAGTAAGAATTATATGTCTAAACTTGTATTCATCTGCTTACTTGTTTTAACTCTTCACATAGAAATGATCCAACCATTAAAGTTGTAAAAATATCTAAATAAGAAAAACTCAATGTTAATGATGTTAGAAGTGTTTTACTAAAGACAATCAAAAATAATAAGTAGAATATCTGGAAAGAAAGAGAAAAAAACAAAGAAAAAGATGTATGAAATGAGAGAAAATGAAATGAAAACTATTAAGCAACTGAATTATTTGGTTGTATTATTGTTAATACTTAAAGAAAAGTGTGACTATAACGAGGGCTAGTTGATATGCAATGATGATGTAATCATCCTAAAATATATGTGACGAATATAAACACAGCCATTGAGGGAAACAATAACATATGCTTAAAATAACCGATTATGTCATTAGATAGAAGTCAGCAATCTTGATGGAGTTTTGTTCTCCATCCAGCTCAAAATCATCCACCTAAGCTACAAATCTTCTCCACCATTCAGCAATCTTTACTATCCTTCTACGGACATATATTTACCATAGAACTAAGAAAAAATACGAATGTACGGCTTAAGCAAATGAATTCGTTGATTATCATTTAATTTCTAAGTAGAAATTTCCAAAGGATTATTTCACACCTGTGTTAATATTTAGTTTACGGAACCCAAAAAAATTGGTGTCGGTCGATTCAAACAAAAGTAATAATGTTGGCTTAGGATGAAGTTAACCGCCTTTTTTACAATGTTTGGTCAAATTAAGGTATCTAATACTTCTCTGTTCATTTGGTGTGTCAGTGCTGAATATAAGTGTGTAATTCACACTGGGGACTGTATTTTATTCGTCTAAAGTTAACTACAAATGTTATGATCTTATGCTCTTAAATGTTAGTGCTCACACTGAATGAACGGTAAAAGACCCGAAATGCATGATACTACACATTTATTGAACTTTAACAAGTGGATGCGTTATAATTTCACGGCCACTTATCCTATCGTTAGGTTTCGCTATTATCAACGGTTACTCTGATAGAAGGCGGGGTGTGGTATACAAAAGAGGTTAATGGAAGTCTAAATTTAGTACCTCTAATTTGGTGAACGATATTTCAAAGAGAGTTGGTATGATCTCCAAGTCAGCGGAGGCAAACAGGCAGTTAGCTTTTCTAAATGTTATGAAATTACTTAATATTGTGAATTCTTTTCTGTTACTGATTCCAATCTGACTTCATTTCAGACTTCACTGTGTGTGAGCTGCTAGTATTTGTGGCGAGACTATAATTTATGGTCGAGCCAATCAGAAGCGATTGAGGAATTTCAAGGTCACAGCGCCAACTTCAGTACTTGATGCTAGCGTACGATCGGTTCACAGGGGATTTTATACAAAACGTGATAATTGAGCGGCTATAACAAATAAGACGTCGAGACTATAATTTGTGGACGAACCAATCAGGTATAAGATAACAGATTGTAGTGGCTGTGCTTCGTTGACCAATCACCCTCGTTACCGTTACCATATAATCCTCAACGGTATTTGAAGTCAGAACGCAAAGAGAAGCAGCGACTACAGTTTTATTAGTAGATAACTCGGACCACAAAGCTGAGAGGCAAATTAATGAGTCAGCGAACCAAGAGTGTAGAGTGTTAAATGTACATATATATATATTACTGTTTGCACTTAATAACTCTGTCCAGCTACCCATATATAAACAAGAGTTGTAGGTAGAATTGATCAGCTTTCAAGAGTGAGGCTTTTTATGTGACTTTAGTCTTTTCTTTTTGTGTAGTTGCTTACCGAAGAGTAAAACGGTGCCTTCGTGACTGAATATTGACTACAGGTATACAAGTTGTATACCTTCACATTCCGAAAGATACATATAGTTACATATTTCATTCGCCGTCAAACTCATGGGCGGAAAATAAGCGTGTCCATCGTGTCTTGAACATACTATTCATCACTTTAAACATTAAAGACTGACAGATGTAGTCAATATTACCAACATAATTTCAAATATGGTCTCTCTCTAATGCTTAAAACGATAAAGAAATGACGATTTAAACATACTGTATTATAAACAAATCGTATAATTGGAGCTTGATAGAACATTTGAATCCGTTCAATTTGAGAAGAAATTCTAAAGCAAAATAAAACAAGAAGGAAATATGAAATAACACAGTTTTACCTTGTAAACATAAATTTCACGGATGACATGATTCGACTGACAAATTTTCATGTAATTTTAGTAGTTGAATTCATGAGTCGATTCAAGCTAGACCACCATTGAAAACCTGGAAGCACTGGGTGACCGTTTTTTCCTAGTTTGGGACTCCTCATCAGTGCATATCCACGATCTGGCATGCGTTGCTCGAACCCAAGACCTTTGGTCTTGCAAAAAATGTGTTTAACCTCTAGACTTATGAATTCAACTGTTAAAATTACAAAAATCTCCACAAACACGCATTCTGATAAATATTTTCAATGTAATTGTGTCTATTCTCTGTCAGGGGCAAATTTTAATAATTCACGTCTCCTACCACACTGGAAGAATCTTTGATCGCATTCGGATCTTATTTTAATTAGAACTGATGAGCCAACATGGTAACAAATCTTAGAGCTTCAAGTGTAACGTTAAGCATGGTATCATTTACACAGATTGTGCCTAGATTAGTTCGATTGAAAAGGTGAATAATCAATCAAAATTAAATGAAATTACTTCGTCCAAAAGTCAATTAGACGAGATATATAGGTATAATGAATTTTACATAACCAAGTCTACCCAGCAAAATGAGAAACAAAGGTCAAACATTATAGTAACTATACATATATTTGAACTAAATGAGTCGATTGTAGTGCCGTCAATAGTTTTAAAGAAAACCCAAATATGTTAACACTTAATCACAATTCATAATGATGATTTATCCAACTAATCAATAGAAATGCATAACTACTCTATCCAGCTCAGAGAATACAACAGATTGCCATGGGTCTACCACTTAAAGTTCATGTTCGTAAGTCTAATCACATGAATAGATTTTGTATCGATTCATTTCTTTTATCTAATAGGTCATTATTCAATACCTTAAAATTCATTCTAATATTTTACTGCTGTTTATCCAAAGGGAACTATTGATTAATTTAATTAGAGACGATTGTGTATAACAGTGTATCTCATGTTATTCAATAATCAATATAAGGATTTAAAAAGTGTAACAGTTTCAAATCCTGAAAGTCTCATGTGAATTGATAGACTTAGAAAACCATTATATGATTGTGAAAGTTAGTCAAAAAGCTTCTTTGTTTTCGAAATAAGAATTATTTTAAATAGTTAAATACATGAGTCGATCTGAGATAGACTGCCATTGAAAACTTAGAAGCATTAGATGGTCATTTCGTGCTACTATGAAAATCTCCAGAAGTGCGCATCCACGACCCCGCATGTGGGACTTGGACGTTCGGTTTCGCATGCGAACACTTAACCGACATCAAAGGATTTTAATATCTAAATCCAATCGATCCATTGTTAAGTTTATCCTCCTAAGTTATCGTTTAATATGGTAATTACTAGTGAATAGTTCGAGTTTTAAAGAAATATTCCTTAAATAAGATTATGAAATTGTTAAATAATTGTGTTTATCATAAAATCAAACGAAAGAATCGAAGTTTCAACAAAGAATAACTTAACCAAAAGCATTCTGATACTATATCACTTATAAATGTTTATTTCATGTGGATTTTATTAAGTCATACTGAATATACTTGTTTCACAAGACAAGCCCTCACATGGAATCTTCAAGGCCAAAGGAAAAGAGGAAGACCAAAGAACACATTACGCCGGAAAATAGAGATAGGAGAAGAATGAGCAAGAATTGGATGGAACTAGAAAAGAAGGCCCAAGACAGAATGGGTTATAGAATGCTGGTCGGTGGCCTATGCTCCATTAGGAGTAACAGGCGCAAGTAAGTAAGAATATACTTGTTTGATTATTATAATACCATAGATTGAATAATAGTATGGATTTGTAATTTCCCAATATATTTATATTTTTAGAGAATACCTTCAAGATTAATTTTAATATGTTAGTTATATGGTTTGTAGACTGACTAATAAACATGGTCATTTATTATTATTTATTATTGGAATGGATCCAGTTTGATGACTAAACTGTATTGTCATGACTTCAGTAACGATTTGGATTTAAAGAGTTGAGTATTTAAATAAACACGTATGAAGTGTTTATACGTTGATTGTGACTGAGATTGGGATCTAAGATGCTCTTTTGTTCTAATTCAGTACTCATCAATCGGATTTACCAGAAATCCACTGTTGATATTCATACTTAAACTAAAACCCGGTAGTGTTGATAAGTTTTCATAACTGCACAATAAACATTTCACTGATTCACATGGAATCTTTTTAAGTGACTTCTTTGTTATGTTACATTTTATTTTCTTGAAGAGATTGTAACTTTTTGCTGATCAGTTTATCTACCTTTGGATATCTGTGCATCTCAGAGCTTGGAACATGAATCAACAATTTGGTTTTTTTTTTAGTAATTACCACCCAATCACAACTTATATAATTTCAGTCAGCTGATTGTAGATTCATTCACACATGCTTACGTTGATTTTACTGTTATAACAACATAAACATTTGTCGTTCATTTTAATTAATTTCCAATTAAATGAAAGATAATCAAAGATGTATTCATCAGAAGTTTTCAATTTGAAAAGAAAAAACAGGATCTCTACAGTCATATAATCATAAACTTTATAGTTAAGATCACGAATCGATCTTAGATAAACCATTACTACAAGTTATTATTATTATTAATGGCTTTATTCAATATTATATTTTGGCATAATATAGAATTCTCAGCACAGGGTATTTCAACAAGTTTCTTACACAAAAAAAACAGGAACAAAGACAAAAGAAAAGGAAAAAAAAGGTTTAAAAAAATCTGAAAAACTGTACAACTTTCCAAATTAGAGACATGTTACGAATGCAGGTTATTGACTAGGTTAACTCTAACAACCTGTTTGTCACAGAGTGTATTTACTAGGTAAGGTATTATAGAACTTTTATACTTTTCCTTGCGTGCATGGATTGAAGTGTAATTACATCTCCTTCTACCAGAAGATATACAAGGAGAAAGATAAGAGTGAAGGGGATGGCTAGTATCTGATAAAATAACACCTGCTAGGAGTTTGCATGACTTTGGATGTCTATCCACAATCATATTAATTATGACTCGAAAGATTCACCACACACCTTGCTAACTGCCTTCAGCACTCTCCGCAATACAGTAAAGTCTTTTCTCAAAAGCCCAGGAAAGAATAATGGAGAACAGTAAAGAATAATAGGTAATATGCAAGAATTGACAAATTGTAAGAGTAAATGACGAGTAATTCCAAGAGCATGCAATCTCTTTATGTTGTAGGTCAAACGGAAAACCTTCTTCGATAACAATAAAACGTGGGAAGACCAAGACAGATCAGAGGAAAAGGTGACACCAAGATAATTGACCTTCGATACTGAGTTTATCAAAGAGTCTCCGATGGTACAAGCATTATGGGATCTCAAAATAGTGTTTATATTCCGTTCATGTCTCATGCTAAAGTTAACAGCTTGACATTTAGACGGATTAAGTATGAGACCATTACCAACAGACCAACAATCAATGCGAGACAAAAACTCATTCATTTCTATGGGATGTAAAGAGGAAGAGATAGGCATACATACAGTGAGATCATTCGCATATTTCACAACAGTGTTTTCTGTGGAAGATGGCAGATCATGCAGAAAAAAAGAGGAAAGAAGAGGTGAAAGAACAGCTCCTTGTAGTACATGTACACCTTCATGAGACAGTAGAAACTCTGAACACTTTCCTCCAAACACAGTGTACTGTTCCCTTCCAGAGAGGTAGGAACATAGCCAGTTGGTTATTCAGCTGTCATTGTTGACGCTAATTAACTTGTTAAGTAAACGTTGTCTTGGTATAGAATCAAAAGCTGAAGTATAGCCCAGAAAAGCACATCGAACATACTTCTTACCCTTTTCTAAGTTGAACACTATGTTCAACTAAATACCTAGAGGCAAAATAGGCCGTTTCATCCTAGTATATGACTCCTAGTCAATGCACATTCACGACTAGTTCATGATTTATACTATGAAAATTCTATAATCTTCACAAATTTCCCTTTAATAAAAAATATATATTTAAGAATTCATTTAACCAGTCAAATAAATTACCTTGTTCCTAATGTAATTGGTTTATCTAAATGAATTGATTGACGTTGAAGTTTAACCAACTTTTCAACTTCTGATCGTGATTTATTTTCATCTTGATCAATTTTTGTCTTTAAAATGAAATATTTTTTTCAGTAAAAAGAAAGAACGATATTAGTATTCCAGAGGATATATAGAACAACGAAGAATATAGATTTAACTTAGTTACAAAGGTATTAAATAGGTATTATTTCTTCAAAAAGATAGTTCTTTTTAGTCACATTCAAAGTATTATCTTCTGATATTCATGTGGATGCTTCAAATAAACATATTTCAATGGTGATAGTAACTGTATTTAGTTGTCTATTTGTGTGCTATCACAGGATATCCATTCTCATTGTTGTATGAATACATTCAATCATTTTAATAGTATCATGAGACGATGTAGCTCAAGTGTCTGAATGTTTAATTTCGAAAGTTTCAGTTTAAATTTGTACTGGATACTAAAACCGAAACCTTCTAATACGTGTGTAAAGTTCTTAGATATCTGAAATCTCCAACCAGGAATGAATTATTAAACGGAAATGTGACCGAACATTTTACTTCAAAGTTAAAAAACTTTCAAAGTTGATTTAGTACCCTACAAATGCATCAGTATTCTCAAAATTGACCAGTTAAGCTTTAAGTTAGTTTTCAACACACAGTATTAAGTAATGCAGAAATATTTAAACTTAAGAGATTTTAGTGGAGTACCTTGACTTACTGTAGCACTCCCTAGTAATACACACTAAGGAATCCATAAAAAATCAAACTAGGAGGCATCGTATGGCTAAGGCTTCAATAAACCTTAATATACACTCTTTTACACTTTTATGCGACAAAAATGCCGAGTTAAGATCAATCTTATGGCCTGTTTCGATTAGATGTTTAGCAAAAGATGATGATGTATGTTTATCCTCTACTCTTAATGGGTCATCTGATTTTATTTGTTTCTGCAACCATTTTGGTACGTGCTCACACATCCTGATTTTGAGATCATGATTGCTCCTCCCTGGGCATATGTGATCACACATACATTTTAATTGTTAAACACAATGAGATGTGACACAATCGTTTCATGTCTTTTAGGTTTGGATAAAGCATGCACCTTGTTCTTTCTTTGATAATGATCTTTGCTGCTCAATACCTTTTGTTGATGACTGATTTAAGCCTTTGTTTCAATAAAAGGCTATTTGAATCACCTCTAAATGATAAAGTGATGTAGATAGGCTTTTTTTCTGCCAAGGCTATTGCCTGTCTCACTATACCATGAACTTTCCACGTATTTATGAATTTAAGGAGATAGCCATTTTCCACTAATGTTTTATTTACCAACCTAACATTGTCATCAATGGCGTCATTTGTACAAATACGATCAAGACTGCTAACTAGGCACCTTATCAATAAGTTCTGATAATAATAGTCTTCTTATTACACTATCGAAATTTATCAAAGAGAACAACATTGTCATTACTTACACAATAAGAATTTACAATATTATATACATACATATATTAACCGGTTTACAAATACCACTATGTTACTGAAATATTTGAGTTATTGCACAATATATTACCAATTATTTGGAATATGAGTTGGTTCCTACTACATTTAAATTGTGATTGTATTAAACCTAAATAATAGGTATTTCTAATTTCCACAAGTGTTAGTCTTATAGTTGTGAATAAAGTAGTCTCAATTGATTGATCATTGGGTGGTGATCATGTTATGTGTGTCAAGTCCTTCTTAATACAGATCGAATGCTGTCGACCAAGTTGCAATTGGCCACTAGTCTAGGTGACTCGACATTGCGTCCACTGTTTTTAGATTAGATGGTGGTTAGTCGATAACATTCGATCTGCACTAAGAAGGACTCGACACAAATGACATTGATCACCACCCAGTGATCAATCAATGGTGATTGCGTCTCAGTCCTACAGGAGGTCAGTCAGGGACCGGATAGCTCAGTGGTAACGTCTCTGACTGTGAAGCTGGGTAGCACGGGATTGGATTCGTCAGGGAGCACCAGTTCCCTCAAGATTACAGGTACACCTTTCCGACGAGTGCCAAGTAGCATGAGACCCGGGTTCACGGTTTCCTGTTGACTACCTCCAACCACCATCTAACAAGGTAGTCTAATGAGGAAAACCAATTTATTGATCAATGTAAAATTGCAGAGTTTTTCTTGAAATTGTAAACCATACATTAAATACATTATTTGGACATCTGCCTTTAGTTGTATTTTACATGTTTCATGATTCATTAGATTCTACTGTTATTATAATTACTCTCTGTTTACATTCCTGTTCTCTTCAATTCGATTTTCCCAATCTTCTGCTACTAGGCATTCCACTCGGTATTACATACTACTTATGTCTGTTAACATATGTAGCATACACTACACTATAATAAATCAGTAGTGTTATTTGTACAAGGTGAGATACTAAGAGAAAGTTTTACTCAAACACGAACCGATCTATTTAATCAATACACTTACTTGACCGATAGGTGAATTACCACTTTCAAATGAAGTTGAATATTTTATGAATTGTGGAATAATAAAAGGGATAGATATTCCCATTATAATAGCAGGAATTAGCTGGAGAAAAAAAGCCATGAAATAATGAATTAGCTTAATGATAATAATAGTTTTCATGATAGTAGCTCAATGGGATATTGGATCAAGACGTATGACAATATATGAAGGATGATTTTGAAATACTGTACTCAGTAACCTACCAACATATAATCGTATAGATCAACAACATATGTATATGCATGAGTTATGTATAGATTAATGGGATTCAGGTATTGAAACTTCCTAATCATTATTAGTCTTTTCACTTTTGTAAAGGTTAGGGTAAGCGTTTAGGAAATATTTGTATACTGTAACCCAGTTGAGCTTGTGAATATATTCTCATCACGGATTAACACTCACTTTGAGAAGTATAAAATATTTAGTCTAGTAATTTTAGACTACTCAGAAAAGTGCACTCATCACTCTATAGAAAATCAACTATCCTATATTATAGCTACAGTTAACTTACAGCGTAACATAAATCACATCCAATGTCGTGAAAAAGTTGGTGTCTTATTACTTAACAGGAATTTCCTTTCCTCTAGAACTTCTCTAAATACATACTGAAAGGAGTTACTGGTGATCATACAGTTAATATTATTGGTTGTTTAGAAGTTCCTTATATTAAGAAGGTTATCAGTTATCTGTGTGTTAGCCTTCATCTATTTTAAACTGTCTTTCGGTGAGACTGTAATTTATGAACGACCTTTGAGCGACGGCAAAGTTACATTGAGAGTATCTACTTACTTACTAGGGCTAAATGAAGGTTATAACGCACTATGAGGAATAAAGATTATGCTTCACAGTTGATGGTTAGGATTAGGAATTGGATTTATGGTTTTTCATCACGAACTGACATCAGATAAAATGCCAAGACGCTATTTAGCTAAATGGGTAAGTGATTTCGCGCCAAAAATCCAAGACCTGTTATACTAAATCTGATTGGTTCGTCCATAAATTATAGCCTCGCCGTAGTATTGTTTGGTCACTTAAAGTTTTTATTTAATCATCTGATTTAGTGTATCCAACCAAACTATCTTCTGCTTATATACAGTAGTAACTGACTATGGAAGTCAAAACATGAAATAATAATCTCGTTAAATTAGAACAAAAGCATTCAAGCAGATTTTTATCAACTGAAAAAACTTATGGAAGTGTTCTTAATAAGTAATGTATATGTTTATTGTCCAAAAAACTAACTTGTATCCATGTATTTTTAGGTGATAAACGCCCTGACCAAACACCTGATAGTAAATCTTGACAACATGGATTCGCCATAAATCTTATGCATTTTCCACGTGCAGCCAAACGTATCACTGACGTGTTTCCATAAAATTCTAATTTTCTATATAAAAGAATTAAAGTACGTGCACGATCTTCTTGATAGCATTCTTCAAGTACTTGATCAGCTTTATCTTCAAATGATCTAAATAAAGTGTGAAAAACGTGAAGAAACAAAACTATGTTTTCAGTATGGGGTTGTGGAGACTAATACATTTTTGACTAAGATCATGATTCGATCGATTTTAGATCACCACTGAAAACCTGGGAGCACTGGACGGCCGCCTCGTCCTAGTATAGGACTCTTCGGGAGTGCACCTCCACGATCCCGTACGCGGGGTTTGAACACAGTGCCTTCGGTCTCGTGTACGAACGCTTAATCTCTAAACCAGAGCTTCCATATTTTCAATGATGGTCTAAAATCAATCGACTCATGGTCTCAATCAAAAACCATGTTATATCTATCAGCCATTCAGAATTAAGATAGTGAATTTTTAAAATTCCGTGTCAAATTCGAAGAGTTTCGGTGAAGATATCGCTATACAGTATTTAAATAGTGTAAAAACATCTAATTATGTAGTAAAATGGCCTAGTATGGAAGCAAAATCATAAAAACCTCTACTCATTCTCAAATAAACTATTCCCAGAACATAAATCAGTAAAAACCTATGTATTTTTAGCTTCACTTACCGAGCATTCTCTTCATACTCTTCCTTATTTGCAACATCATCTGACTTTTGTCCTAGTTCAGCAATTAAAATAGATAAAACTAATGCAGCCGCAATCGGTTCCTACAAAGGTAAGAAAATGCATAATGATATATTTTTGTCACCATGGAATTTAATTTGATAGGTTTATATTGAAATTTAAGATTTGTTTAATTACTAGGTCAGTCAGTTTACTGAATGATTTATATTTTCTTTATTTTAATGTATTTAAATATGAATTTTACAATGTTATTCACTGTCTTGTTATTCTACTGTTTAGAACAACATATATAAGCGAACAATATTGTTTTCGATTAGATCCTCATCAGGCTTTACTCTAATATACAGTAATATATTAGAGTAAAGCATGATGAGGATCTAATCGAAAACAATATTGTTCGCTTATATATGTTATTCTACTGTTCACTCAAATGGTGAAATCATAGTTGAGAGTGTAATACCCTTCATGTTATTAACTTTGTGACTGGATTTCTACCACATGCAAACGATTAATAAAGTTCAATCAAAATATCAAACATTCAGATGAATGATTCATTTTTTTATTGTTTGTTTATATCTTCCCATTGATATTTAGGACTGCAATTGATCAATCTCTTAATGACATATGTGTATCCTATGTGGATTGCCTCGATACTGCCTTAAGTCACAAGTATTATAAGCAGAGATGGTTGTTGGCAAGTAGTGGAATCCAGGATGTGGATACATTAAGCTGATGAGTTCCAAATAGGACAAAATGCACGTCCTGAATTTTACTGCTAACCAACATCCATCTCTGCTTATAAGTCAAGTAAATAGCTGAAGGTATATATTAAAGTTTATAAACCGTTCGTTTACACTGTATATAACTGAGATATTTTCAGTATAAAATAAAGTCATTAATTGATTGATGTTTCGACTTGTTGAAACAAGTTAAAAGATATCATTATTAATAAAAGGTTGATCTGTCTCATTGTTGATATTTAGCATCGAATTTTGCTCAGCTCTTGTTAAAATATATACGTTTTGTTCAGATCGACTCAATATAACTACTCTCTTACAACTTATTTAGAGTAATTCACTTGTGGCTACCAATGGAACTCAAAATCCGCGTTTTGTCCTATTTGGGACTCTCCAGTTGGGTATACCTTCATCCTGGTATTGAAATCAAATCCTATTGGGCACATCAATACTGGGATCCAGGTACATTTAGCTGAAATAAGACATGATGCTCATCTTGGATTTATATCTGGTTGTAGTGAATGACAAAGAATAGATTAAAATTTAACATTAACAACATCAAAAAGAAGAAAGAGTTAAAGTATAATAAATGCGATTGGTGTCAACCATGTGATTCTATGAAGTGTATGGGCTAAATAAAAACCAGGTCCATTTTACTATATTTTATAGACTAAGTGTAATGTTTCTACCAAATGATTAGTTTACAGTCCCTTATCTTCACATAATTTCATGATTTTTTTTGTTTTCTTCATGCATTTGTTCAATTGTAGCTACTAAAGTACATTTTGAACAGAAGTGTGCATTTCCAGCACATACACAACAATTACTTAATGTACTAAGTCTTACTGAGAATCAAAGAAGATAATAACTGAGACAAGAAATATTTTATCCAACATTTACTTTCTCTCTATTTACTTTCCAACAGCATTTGTTGTTGATGATATTACTATTAATTATAATTCAAATAGATTTTGGATGACGGCAAGTAGTGCGGTTCAAGTTTCTACATATGTTCCATGAAAAACTCATCAGTTATTTCTGTCTTCACTCTAAAGACTGGTTAAATACAGTTCTGGATATCACCAGCAACAGAACACAAACCCTTACAAGTAGGAGTAAATGATAAGCATAATGAATAATACGATAGCATTTGAAGCAATGAGTACTAGGTTCGAGTTTCAATATAAGGATCAACAATGAGATCCAGACAGATCTGGCTATTAATACTGTTGTGAACATATAGTTTGAAAACAATGTATAAAATAAAAATTATTTACCAATATCCAAAGTTTATAAAGAAAAATAAATGCAAAATCAGCATATTTTTCTTTTTTGTTTCTCACCTTCTCTTGATTCCAGAATATTTCAGCCATTTCAAATCTTCCAAGTAATATACACATCATCATTAATTCTCTAGCTGGTCTATCAAATTTAACTGTACTGGTGTGTCTAAAATCTAAAGTAAGATTAATTTAAAGGGAAATGATATGTTTATAGTATGAGAAAATCAAATTAAAATCTCAAACTCACATGGTGTTGTTTTACTCGTATCTTTCCATTGTTATTTAGGACTGTAATTGATCAGTTTCATGTTCGCATATGTGCATCCTGTGAGCAATGGCTAGCAGTGGAACGCAGGACGCGCGCTGCGTCCTATTGGATTCGAGTCCCGGAGTGAACATCAACTCTGCAATGCAGGTACGTCCAGCTGATGAGCTCCAAATAAGACGAAACGCGCGTCCTGAATTCCACTGCTAGCCACTATCCATCTTTACTTAACAAGTTAAAATCTGTTCAAGAAAGGTGGGCAAATATATGAATGAATAATTACTCAATAGAATTGAATGAGTACGAGACGTATGGTGTTCATTGGAATTGAATTTATGTTAATCATTTCCGTTTCAATGAACTGACAGAATATGTCGCGCTTAGACCTAGTCAACAAACTAATAAGAATGATTCATCATTTTAATTATTTTATATAAATACATGATGATATTGACTCTTGAAAATGATATTGTTGGAAAGAAAAATGTTATGAGTATCCAATACTTGCCTGTAATTAAATTATCATGGGTAAATGGTATCAATTTTGGTATACAATACTGAATGATAAACATACATTTTGGAAGTTGTTTTGGGCATTGTACAACCATTGCCTATATATCTGCAAGATCTTGTTTATGATTATATATTCAGTTTAATATACAGCCTGGACATATTTGTATTCATTGTATGTATATTATTCTGTTATTAAATATGATAATACCTACAGTGAAACAGTATGCGGTGTATGCTACTTATGTTGATAGATATAAGTAGTATGTGACACCAATCTGATTGCGAAGATCGATTGATAAGAGTAGGAATACAAACAGAGATGAATTGTACTCACGACAGAAATGAAGGAATGATGAATTTTGTAAGAAACGACTGATGGAAGATGTGCAAATGAAGTATGTAAAGTATGGTTTTCACATTTTATTAAGACACTGTGATTTTTCATGAATTAATAAATTAATTTTTCCCATCAGGTCTTTGTTCACAACAAGTGATTGATTGGTCCAACTAAGGCAGATATTGATATCGATGACATTACAAACTAAATCTGACTCGACAATTAAAGAAAAGCAGAAATTAGTTGACGGTTGTTTCGTCTTAGTACAGGACTCCTATATGTGCGTGGATCTCCATAACAGATATTGATATCAGAAGGTGTTTTGTGGAAATTGCGGTAATTTCAATAGTTGAGATCATTAGTCAACTGAAACTAACTAGCGTGCGAGACTGACAGACCCTGGGTTCGAATCCCACGAGGCGGGGTCGTGGTTACGCACTGCTGAGGGGTCACACGATAAGACGAAACGGCCATCCAGTGCTTCCAGGTTTTCCATGGTGGTCTAGCTTCAACTGACTCATGATCTCAACTACTGAGATATTGATATATTATTAAGCGTCTCAATAGATTTTTTAATAAACGGAATACACCCATTGTGACATTAAATAAGAAAGAAAGATTAGTTCAGCGAAGAGTTCTCTTTTCGGCAAATTCATTATCAAAGCTGTACAACCGCAAATATATATATATAATAAGTATATATATTTGCGATTGTACAGCTTTGAAAATGAATTCGCCGAAAAGAGAACTCTTCGCTGAACTAATCTTTCTTATTCAATAGATTTTACAGCGTTTTCTAAAAATTTAGTCTATAATTGCATGCTATTGAATTAATTAATAGTAGTTTGCATTTTTAACATTAATATTCCAACGTTCACATTTCATTTCAACACACAAACTGTTAAATGTTTATTCTATTAACAAAGTTTATGAATAAAAACTTACTTGCAAGTTTGGATGGCTTCAACTCTTCAAGTCCTGTAAATTTTTAATGAAATCAATGTTTACCAATTTAATTACAATCACTAATGTTTAAACTATGACAAAAATAATTTCAAATTTGTAAAATGTTTCGATGTTCTTATTTAGTAAATTTTCATTCTGATGATCAAATAACGGCAGTACACAGTATTTAATAAGTAAACGTTTATTTAGAAGAATATATGAGTGTTTTATTAAAGAACATTGTTCATTAATAATAAATAAAATAAAAATTCGTGTCAGTTTGTTCGAGTTAAACAAGTTTCCCCGTTATACACATAAGAAAAATTGTTAAACAGAAAGTGTTTAAAAAGAATAGAAAATTTTTCGAATTCAATAACTTTTAGGTGTATTTTTAAAGTTAACTACTTCCTTGGAGACAATTCATTGTTTTGTCCTTGAACATTGTGGATAGGTAAAGGACTAATTGATTCCATTAAAATTTCCCTTTCTTTTTACTTAATAGATACAGATCATAAAACTAACAGGATTTCATTATTTTTTTATCGGATACATAACCTCATTCAAGCCTTCAAATTTATACAACATTTACCCAAGCGTAGTAGAGACCAAAGCATTCCGAATTTCCTGATTAAACCTCTGAACACAAAAACCATTGACCCACTTTTTCTTCCATTCCTTACCCATCCCTTATATTTAGTTCATAACAATCATCATTCACCATTTTCATTACGCCATATACATATACATTTTTGAACTTCATCCTTCTTTTGTGAGAAGGCAGCGTTACTGTTATGCCGGTTGTCCGAGGAAAACACTTTACTGCCATCACGTCCCCTCAAACCTTGGGTTTGCTGCTTTTAGTCTTACCGCTCTTCAACCGATCCATCTGGCACGGTAGAATCTTGGAGGACGATTGTTCCAGCCAGTATGGCCCGACTGATTCATTACGATAGGAAAGCCCGACCACCACGTCAAGGTAGAAGCAACGGTCGGAGTGTGAGTTGTATATAGACTACTGATTAAACCTTCACCATTCAAATTGTCTTTCAAATCTATCACGAATATTGACCACATTATTTTGAGAAAAGAATCTGTTCGTTTATATAAACACTAAACAAAAACTGTTCAAGGAAATTCATCAAAATATAATCAGTATTATGATGACTTTCTTAACTTACTTTCAGCTTTAGCTTGACCAGTTAAACGTTCCATAATTGTGAATTTTTCTTGAGCTATTCTATGCCTTCGCTTGCGTTCTTTTTCACGTTTACGTTCTAATGTTTGTCGTTCAATCTCTCTTAAACGTAGACGTGCTTTCTCTGGATCAGTTAATGGATGTAAAATAGAATGTGCAACACGTTGAACAGGAAATTTATTATTTCTATTAGATGATGTTTGTTTACTAAGAGTTGTTGTTTGACACATACTACTGATCGATTGATCATGAGATCCCGTTACATTCTGATGCTGTTGTGGATAATGAAGATGATCGCTAGGTTGATCATCAATAATATTTGTATCAGTGATAACAGATACTTCTGTTTTACTTGAATGAATTGAAGAATGCGATTGAACTATGATATTGACTGCGGCTACAGTGTAATATGAAACAAAATAAGTGAAACTATAATTGTTCATAGAGCATGTACTTTACTTTATTCAAAAGCTAACTGAAAGTTATCAATGAACTAGTTAATTTAGAGTTTCCGATCTTTGTCAATAACGATCAAGGAAGTCAGAATGACCATCAGACAAATAAAGAGTGGGGAAGCAGTGAGACCTGAGAATATACCGGCTGAAGCACTCAGTTCACACACAGAAGTAACTATGAACATGCTCCACGCTTTATTCTGGAAGAGTTTGGGGGAGGGACGAATCCAACAGACTGGTAAGAAGAATATCTCATCAAGATTTCAAAGAAAGGAAATCTAAGTTTGAGAACTACAGAGTCATCACAATACTATCGGTACTAGAAAAGGTTTTCAACACAGTGTTATTGAGTCGAATGAAAGATTAGGTAGCCACCCAAATTCATAACTAGCAGGATGGCTTTCATACGGATAGGGTGTGTAATAGTCGGATTGGGACACTTTGGATCATTGCTGAACAATCAATTGGATGGAATACGTCACTATAGATTAAGTTCCTCGGAAATGAAAAAGCATTCGACACTTTAGATAGAAGAACATTATGGAAGCATATTCAGGACTATGGTGTACTTGAGAACGTCAACATAATATGGATTACACTGCAAAGTCATGTTTGAAGGGCAGCTGATAGATCCATTCCAAGCGAGTATTTATGTTAGACAAAACTGACTACTCTCCCCCTTTCTCTTTCTTGTGGTGGTTGACTGGATTATGATGACTTCCACATCTGAGGTGAGACACGGAATACAATTGACAGGTTAGATGCATTTAGATAGTTTTGACTTGCGAATAACCTAGCTCTCCTATTCCATACACACCAACAAATTCAGGTAAAGACTGCCAGTGTAAGGCAGCATCTGCAACAGTAAGTATCAACGTTCGCAATGGAAAAACTATGATCTTAAAATACAATGCAGTGAGCACCAACCAAGTCACACTTGATGGCGAAGATCTGGAAGAGGTGGGAGTTCTTACATGACTGAGAAGTGTCATTGACACACAAGGGGGATCTGATGCAGATATGAATTCATGGATTGGTAAAGCAAGAGCAGCATTCCTACGGTTGAAGAATATATGGAACTCAAAACAACTGTCTGTCAGCCAACAACGAAGTCAGAATCTTTAATAGAAATTTCAAAATAGTTCTGTTATGAGGGGCTAAAACTTGGAGGACTATTACAACTATCACCAAAATGGTACAAGCATTTATTAAAAATTGTCTACGCAAGAGGCTCAATGTCCACTTGCCAGATATCACCAGTAAAACCTACTATGGGAGAGAACAAATAAACTTCTAGCCGGAGAGGTAATTAGGGAAAGACGCTGGAGATGAGAAGGACACACATTGCAGAAGTCATAAAACTAAATAAAAAACAAGCCCTTACTTAGGATCCCCGAGGCTAAACGAAAATAGTCAGACCAAAGAACACACTGCGTTGGGAATCGAGAATAGATATCAAAAGGATGAATAGCAACTAGAAAGCACTGGAAAGGATTGACCAGAACATAGTTCACTGGAGAATGCTGGTGGATAGCCTATGCCTCCTCCACAAGGAGTAATAGGCGTAAGTAAGTAATGTTAAATGATACCCTGTCAAATTATGCAAATCTGATTGTTAATCTGACCATACATAAACTACACAAAATATAGTTTGTTCATACACATAGTTCCCTTTATTATCTTAAATAGAGCAAGAACAAAGATTGGTGCAGAATAATATGAATTCATTTTATTTCGTTAGGTTCTCATCAGCTGCTTACAACCTAAAATATTTGAAATTCAACGTTATTATAGATATTGACATACTTATACAACAGAGGGCGATGAAGGATGAATATATGTAACGTAATGTGGTAAAGATTTCGTTAGGGTTAATGAGGTCATAAAGTCTTTTTGTTTCGAATATATAGAGTTTGGGAGGGAAGGTTCCAGAAAATTGAAATAGTGATTAGAAATCATGGAGTCAAAACACATTAGACGATTATGTAATGAAGTAACTGAAAATAGATTAATGTTAATAAAGAGAGATATGAATTGAAATTGGTCAGTTATGAATGATGTAATGATAAAATGCAGAAAGAGTTGAAATGACGTAATAAAAATAAATAAAATAAAAGGGGGTGGGGTGAATGTTACCAGGGCAAAGAAAGATTTATTACTGTTTCTTTTTGTATACAAAGATCTGGTTTTAAACGTTTGATTGCTATTGCTTCCGCGAATTTCAAAAGGTTTGAGTTTGATTGTTTGTTGATCACCTTGAAGGACTTCAGTATATCGACTTCGTGTCCTGTGTCAAGGAGATGTCTTGCGACAGCGCTGCTAAATGCTTTTAGTCCGTTTAATCTCAAACTGTTCGGAATATGTTCTTTGAATCGGACGTAGGCTCTCCTTTCTGTTCTACCAATGTAACTGCTTTGGCAGATACATGTAGAACAGCAATCAAACGTTTAAAACCAGATCTTTGTATACAAAAGAAACAGTAATAAATCTTTCTTTGCCCTGGTAACATTCACCCCACCCCCTTTTATTTTATTTATTTTTATTACGTCATTTCAACTCTTTCTGCATTTTATCATTACATCATTCATAACTGACCAATTTCAATTCATATCTCTCTTTATTAACATTAATCTATTTTCAGTTACTTCATTACATAATCGTCTAATGTGTTTTGACTCCATGATTTCTAATCACTATTTCAATTTTCTGGAACCTTCCCTCCCAAACTCTATATATTCGAACCAAAAAGACTTTATGACCTCATTAACCCTAACGAAATCTTTACCACATTACGTTACATATATTCATCCTTCATCGCCCTCTGTTGTATAAGTATGTCAATATCTATAATAACGTTGAATTTCAAATATTTTAGGTTGTAAGCAGCTGATGAGAACCTAACGAAATAAAATGAATTCATATTATTCTGCACCAATCTTTGTTCTTGCTCTATTTAATATAGTTTGTTTGTATATCATTTTGATTCATTTCCATGGTTAAATTAATGTATATCAACGGTGTTTATATTCTAGCTATACGTCGTCGAATTCAGGGTTTTTAGTATCAATCACAAATCAGTTAAGTACCCAGTAGACTTAATGGTGACAAGCATCATAATCTCATACTACTTGTAAGTAACATTGTAATTCAGAAAATAACTTTTCTTCACTGGAAAGCTTAAGGTTAATTAAATTTCGACTTATCAATGCAAAATCAGTAATTTTGGATGTTGCCCTTGAAATTTATGAAGTTATGTCCGATAAATGTTTATTTTAAAGAAAACATACTTTCCAAGAATTTAATTTCCGAAGGCATTGTTGATTTTAAAAATAGTATACTAAATCGTCTAGTCTCCGTAGTCATATTCTAGGCGGCTATTTCATTATCAGTATGGATAATATATTCAGTACTGCTACAGACAATAATTAACTATAAACTCTAAATCTTGTACTATATTACTAACTTATATTTGTTAGTACACAGAAATATCCTTTCATTAGGGATCCAGTCATCATCATCATCATCATCATCATCATCATCATCATCATCATCATCATCATCATCATCATCATCATCATCATCATCATCATCATCATCATCATCATCATCATCATCATCATCATCATCATCATCATCATCATCATCATCATCATCATCATCATCATCATCATCATCATCATCATCATCATCATCATCATCATCATCATCATCATCATCATCATCATCATCATCATCATCATCATCATCATCATCATCATCATCATCATCATCATCATCATCATCATCATCATCATCATCATCATCATCATCATCATCATCATCATCATCATCATCATCATCATCATCATCATCATCATCATCATCATCATCATCATCATCATCATCATCATCATCATCATCATCATCATCATCATCATCATCATCATCATCATCATCATCATCATCATCATCATCATCATCATCATCATCATCATCATCATCATCATCATCATCATCATCATCATCATCATCATCATCATCATCATCATCATCATCATCATCATCATCATCATCATCACATCATCATCATCATCATCATCATCATCATCATCATCATCATCATCATCATCATCATCATCATCATCATCATCATCATCATCATCATCATCATCATCATCATCATCATCATCATCATCATCATCATCATCATCATCATCATCATCATCATCATCTCATCATCATCATCATCATCATCATCATCATCATCATCATCATCATCATCATCATCATCATCATCATCATCATCATCATCATCATCATCATCATCATCATCATCATCATCATCATCATCATCATCATCATCATCATCAACATCCTCTTACCGTTTTCTTGATCTGATGAAATCAACCCATTTGAATTATTCAACTGATTCTTTTCATTTATAATAGAAAATGATCTATCTAGAAAACTATCTTCTTGAGCTTTTGGTACATAATTATCTGTTTCATTAGCATGTTGTAATGTAGTGATAAGACGTTTTTTACCCATTACTGTATCATTTATTGTACCATTATGATCATTTTCATAACTATCCGAATATGGATAATAATCATTTTGATAATAATTCCTAATGTTATTTGTGCCAACTATTGGCTTAACAATATATTGTCTTCTATTCATTAATGATGATATTTGATTGTTATTATTCATTACTGATTGTTTTGATCTATTACTTTTATCATCATTGATACCTCTTCGTGTACCAGCGCTAACTGATCTACGTGACTTTGTTCTATGTTGTGATGATTTGATTAATTTTGTTTCCGATGAATTATTCGATGATGTATAACTTGTAACATCTTCTGTATCTTCGATTTTTTTATTGGTACGTTGTTGATTGAAGTTTCGCTTTGATTGATCATTCTTTTGTGATCTTTTGCTTTGTTGACAAAATTGAGATATTTGTTCAGACTGAGCAATGTTTTCTTCATGATCAATATTATGATCGTCAGATTTTTCAGCATCAGATTTTTCATCAATATTAAATGATATCGGTATAGGTTCAACAGCTTTCAATGTTGAAGTTGATGTGATTGTTTTACCTTTTATGTTAATCGAATAAGAAAAATGCATTTTAAATAATAAATATTTTGTAAAATCTACTGACTATTCAATAATTGCTTAGGGTATTTTGACTATATCTGACAATGGAATTCAAAACGTACGTTTCTTCTTATTTGAGACTTATCACTGGATGAACTTGGATGCTAGAGTTGACATCTACTCTGGGATTTGGACGCAGTACTTTGCACTTCAGAAGCTGGAAACGTTCTCCACTCAGCTACTGAAACCAAGTGGCACTCTAGTTGGGCTATGGCGACTATATAAAGGCAATCCAGAAAAGTTATAAATACGCTAACTAAGAATGATCGAAACTGAGCCAACAATATCGACCACTGCATAACTCGAAAACCCTTATAAATGTTTAGGTAATTAAATAATGTCTCTTAGTAAAAATATGATACCGAATACGCTCCCCACTATGTTAAGTTTAGTCCATGCTCTATTATTCATTGAACGATATTGTACTCAAATAAACCGAAAATCCACATCTCTAACTACACTTCTAAACAACAACTAGTCGTTTTTGCCTGAAACTTCATACTGTTGAGATGGTAGAGAAGATTTGTAGCTCAGGTGGATGATTTTGGTGGAGTTTTGTTCTCTGAGCTGGATGGTTTAGTCGTGGAGCTTTCATCGTTCTTCTGAATGACATCATCAGCACATACTTCAGATAGAAGTGAAGTGTTCGAATTTCTCCATATGTGTTTCACAGCTTGTTCTGTACACCTCGATGTTGATTGGTTCTTATTGACCTTAAATTTATCGTTGTTTACCTCTTTGTTTTGGTTGTGTCTCCCATTGGTTTGATTTTTGTTCCTATATTTATGCATGATTTTCCTGATTGGTCGATAAATTGGATTGATTTCAATACGTTTGTTGATTGCTGATTGACTTGAATGCCAGGCTTCTAAAAATTCTCTGGTGTTTTTGGAGTTTCCTCTGTGTAAGATTTCCACATTTTTCCAATCGAGTGAGTGTCCGTAGTTATCCACGTGTAACGCCATGATATCTCTTCACTTATATCAATACACGATTTGTTCATTTTCAACATGTATTCCTTTCAAAAAACGATACATTATGGGAAGCTACTGAAAGTTAAGAAAATATTTGATCTGTTATATCCTAGCGAAGATTAAATCATGAGTAACTTCTGAGACCTATTAATGGACTAATACTATCTATATATTCTTATGAGATAACTATTCAATAATTAGATTGTGCATATTTATATTCATCTTATTACAAGCTTCATTTTGACCTATAGATTATCATTGTACGATTTACTGTTCATAAGTTATACTCAGTTTATTGATTAGTCTCCCACGTTCACACCCACTTTTTGGCTTTATTGTGTATAAATGTTATTTCCTAGTTTATGATGCGTTGCGGTTTGATTGGTTGGTATATAAACACAGTATGTCTGAAATAAATGAAAGCTGTATTAGTGTTCTGGACTCGAATGGACGGACTAGGCGAACATAGGGCGCTAGCTGCTCATACCGGTCGAACGTCATTGGCTTAGCACAGTGTGAAAATTGTATAAGTCGTGTTTCGATTGTCGGATAAATAACGTGATAACTACCAGACCATAAAGATGCAACATGATCTTACTTCATCATTAAAATAAAAATAAAATATTTACAGTATTTAAGAATAAACATTACAAAAATGTAAACTCATTTTGTATTGTTTGTTTATATCTTCCCATTGATGTTTAGGATGGCAATTGATCAATCTCTTATTGGCATATGTGTATCCTATGTGGATTGCCGCGATATTACCTTAACTCACAAGTATTATAAGCAGAGATAGATGTTGGTTAGTAGTGGAATCCAGAATGTGGATACATCCATCTGACGAGTCCTAAACATAACGAAACACATGTCCTGAATTCCACTGCTAACCACCATCCATCTTTGATTACAAAAATGATCTCTTTTTTCTTTCTTTTTTTACTTATAATCTATACAATTATATAATATGTAATCATTAATAACCTGGTTGTTTTTCATATTCATCATATAAATTATCATTAGTTGCCTCTTCATCACTTGATTCACAATAACCATGTTCTACAACGGAATGTTGAAAACGTTTTGATAAATAAAATGGATGATAAAATCTCCTAATAAATTTTTTATAATTCTACCAATATCTCTAAGCATAACCCAATCCATTTTATAAATTCTAGAACTTTTCCATAATTGTTGTAATAATCTTGATTTATAATCCTAAATTAATAAAATAAAAATAATAAGTAGTATATTAAGAATTAATGAAAATTAATCTTTTAATTTATTAATATCATAATATAATTGTGAATAGTTTCAATTATCATTTCATTCTATATTCATAGTTACAAGTTGAGTTAATGCTCATTCACTCGATCTACTTAACATCATAGATCATAACATGTCAATGTAACTTGAAGAAATTTATAATTGATTCATCATTACGTAAGGATTAGTGTTAGGCTTATCTAGTCTCTGAGTATTGATCAAATTTAATGAATCAAACTGAAGTGTGATAAATAGTTTAAGTAACTTTACATCATGTGGACTACATTGTTCCTTCCAGATGGCAAGACTATAATTTGTGGACAAACTAATGAAATCAAGGATAGCAAATCTTCAATTTTGGCTTGGAATTCATTTATCCATGAAGTTAAATAGCATTTCAGTATTATAATTGACATCAACCCGTAACAAAAATCCTTACTCTGATACCTAACCTTTAATTTTAATTTTAAATCCTTATCCTAATCCCCCATACTAACCCTTTATAACCCTTTTTGACTCGGGTAAGTAGGTGAGTTGTCGTAAGGTCACTTTAGAGTTGCTCAGAGGTCGTCCATAAATTATAATCTCATTCTGCAAATTACATTCACCCTGTACTAATAAGTACCAGCTAGTACGACATTTAAATCCAGAGTGTCCTATACTGTCACAAGACGGCCGTCCAGTGCTTCCATGTTTTCAATGGTGGTCTAACATTGATAGATTCATGATCTAAATCAAAAAACATTCCATGTTGTTTATGATAAAACCTTTACAGCATTAATGATAAACGACTTATTCTCCCTGAATAATCCAGGGATTTCTTAAATGTTTCATGTAGCTGACAATCCTAAATTGTAACTGTACAATATTATCTTACATTTTATATGAATTAGTGTTTTCGCCTAACAGAACTAAGATTATTAGTAACTGGCTAGAATAAATCCAAATACTATTGATTCAATGCCCGTTTTGGATCTATTCCATTTTCCAGATAAGTACACTGAATTTTCCATTCGTAAAACAATAAAATCTCATAAACTTCTATGAACCATATAATATTTTACAGCTAATCTATTGTTAAATTCACTTCCAATATCTGTGTTTATTTCTTTATCAAATCCATTATGTCTATTGCTTTATATTACTTTTTAATATTTAGTAGTCAGTTCTAATTCAAATAATTCCTGAGAGTGAGTTGTAACATACGTTTACTGTTAAGCAATATTCCTGAGTACTTATATAAAACTAATATCATCACTGTATTTGTTATCGTAATTACGTTCTGTAAACCTCTGTAACAAGTAGTTTTAGTTTTTGTCCATTTCTTGAGTCGTCCTCAAGAAAAAACAATTCATGTTTTCTTACTTTTAGTCTCCGTTCGATTGTTAATCATCTTTACTTGACAAAAAAAACAACTACCGGCTATAATTTACGCTATCGTATGCTGTAATTATTGTTTGCATAACTACAATAACTGGTCTTTCACTTTCTATACATATAAACGCGTTAACCGTCGCAGATGCCTCATGATTAGTAATTTGTTAGTAATAAACGGATATAAGTTTCCTTCTTAATGTACATATATATAATCGAAAAGTTCTTTAGATAATTCGTTATTTTGAACCTTGATTTCAAACGTATCATGAACGTGTGCTTGAAAGCTTTACTCATTGCCTTTTGAAACCTTTCAGTATCACATATATATTCCCTAAGCATACGGATTAAGACTAAGCTCTTAATGAACCTGTTTACAATTTATCTAATAGAACAAATACCTGTGTCTAATTTTTATTTCATTTAAGAGACAGTTTTTAACTCGTTAAAAATTATTAATGCATAAAGAGATACTACTGAAATAATAATAGTAATATAGTTATTTTAAAAAAATATTAGACTTACAGTCTTTTTCAAACATTCTGTATATAATCTTTCTAATGTATGGACAGTAAGAAAATCATCTAAATTAAATCCATTTTCCAAAATTAACCGAACAAAATCCGTTTGTTCATTTAAAATAACATTGAACATGAATTCATTTAAATCACCTTTCTTTTAAATAGATTAAATGAAAATTTAAACAGAAAATTATGAGTTTGTAGGTATCATTATCAAGGTTTGACTTGATGATTTCGAATAAATGGATCATTGGATAGATTATTATAAATTAATTCAGATCACAATTGATTGATCGCTGGGTGGTGATCGATTTCATGTGTGTCAAGTCCTTATTTAGTGCAGATCGAATGCTATCGATCATGTTGCATTGTCGACTACCTCCAACCACTATCTAATCTCAATATATAGTGCCCGCAGTGTCGAGTCACCTAGACTGGTGGCCACCGTGCAACATGACCAATAGCATTCGATCTGCACTAAATAAGGACTTGACATACATGACATTGATCACTACCCAATCATCAATCAATCGTGATTACGTCTTAGTCCTACAGGAGGTCAGTCGCGGCTCAGATAGCTCAGAGAATAAATAATCTGAAGAGGTGGCTTACACTAAGTCACGAAACGTCAGTAAATCAAAATTTTCTACTCATTGGGATATTACAAATATATTAATTTATTTAGAAAATTATAAAATCTGTAAAATATTTTAATACATTTTTCTCACGGTGAGATTATAATTTATGAACGAACCAATCAGATATAAGAAAAAAGGTCATGGATTTTGGCGCAAAATTCATTCATAGCTTTGGTTAAATAGATTTTTGACATGATAACTGATGTTGATTCGTGATGAAAACCATAAATCTAGTTACTAATCCCAACCATCAACTGTGATCATATTTCTAATTCATAACGCAGGTTTATAACCTTAGTTAGGTACTGGATACTCTCAAGGTCAATCCAGCATCACTTCAAGGTCATCTACAAATCATAGTCTCACTACAATTATATAACAATATTCACATAGTCAAGTTGTTTGATGTTGGTAAATGTATGCTTTGTAAAGCGATAAAGTTTAGCAATGATACAAACAAGTTAGTGAATATGATTTATCTAAGATAGTTATGTAAATTTCGCTTACTCTCAACTTTCGTCTTTCTCCTGGTGATCGACTGGATCATTAAGACGTCAACATCTGAGAGGAAGCATGGGATACGGTGGATAGCTAGGATGCAGCTGGACGATCTAGACTTCACAGAAAAGCAAGATTCTCCGATACAACACAGTACGCAACAATCCAATCACAATTGATGGAGAAGATTTGGAAGATGTAAAAACCTTTACGTATTTGAGCAGCATCATTGATGAACAGGGTGGATCTGATGCAGATATGAAGGCGCGGATCGGCAAAGCAAGAGCAGCATATTTACAACTGACGGACATCTGGAACTCAAAACATTTGTCAACCAACACCAATGTCAGAATTTTCAATACAAATGTCAACACAGTTCTACTGTATGGGGCGGAAACTTGGAGAACTACAAAAACCATCATCCAGAACATACAAGTGTTTATTGATAACTGTCTGAGCAAAATACTTCGGATCCGTTGGTCAGACACTATCAGCAACAACGTGCTGTGAGAGAGAACAAACCAAATCCCAACGGAAGAAGAAATCTGGAAGAAGTTCTGAGAGTTGGTGAGACACATATTGAGGAAAGTACTCAACTGCATCACAAAGCAAGCCCTCACCTGGAATCCTCAAGGCCAAAGGAAAAGAGGAAGACCAAAGAACACATTAAGTCGAGAAATGGAGATAGACATGAGAAAAATGAACAAAAATTGAACAGAACTGGAAGGACATAGTGGGCTGGAGAATGCTGGTTGGTGGCCTATGCTCCATTGGTAGTAACAGGCGTAAGTAAGTAAATAAGTTAAGTAAATTTAAATTTAAGTAAATAAATACAATAAACTTCTGTATTTAAAAAAGAAAATATAAAACAAAACCGACTTACTTTCCAACGTTTACCTTCAAGAAAAATTTTTGTTCGTGCAATATCAGCTCGATTCAATCGTATAGTTATTTCTAGTTGATCAAGGTTTAATTCATTCTTTGGTCGATCAATTCCAGCTTTTAACGATAGTTATTTTTTTTTAAAAATCCAAACAAAATAAGTGAGTTGTGATGTTTAGTTTCCATATGATATGATATTTCAAATAATATGACTTCATAATGGATTATATTAAGCCGAATGTATAAATTGTAATAACGTAAGGGTAGTTCTAAAGGGTACTCAATCATAAGGTAGTTTACATTGTAAACTGTCACCAGGTTATAAACCCATGAAAACTCTAAGTGGTTGTCAGGCTTTCAGTCAGAACTATTTCATAGAGTACACTCACAGTCCAATACCTTGTCAGACAGTAGAGTTTCAGGTCTTTTTGAGAGTAACATATCAGTTACACAATCAGAATTTAATAGCCTTCGTATACTAACTCATTCAGCCCATGGTAAAACTAAATTACAGGCTCCGCAAACCTTTGATCCTAATGATCAATGGTATGTCGATTAGTGACTAGTTTTAAGATAGATTCTTGATAATTTAGCTCGATGGCATAACCAACATAGTTTGACTCTTCTGGAAGTAAAACAGACACCACCGATCTCATAAAAATCACTTGCTTAGTAGGGTGAGTCTATCAAAGTTGATCATGGGAACCACTAACGTTCAGTTCTAAGGTCTAAAGTGATTGCCTTGATTGTGCCATCTAAATTTGACGAAAATTAAAATGTTTTCTTCAAAAAGTTTATTCATTAATCACCTGCGAATTTGTAAAAACACTTACCGTGAACTTTGGTATGAGGAACAATACGCACTTATGACTCCATATTAAGTTAGGTAAGAGTTAACTTAAACATTTCAATGATGCCGTGTTATCACGTTCAAAAGGAAGACATTGTATGATATATAAGTAGCACACAATGCTGTTGGAGTTATTGAAGGATATCCCCCTAGAATTCATCAGCATAGCGAACTAAGTTACTTTAAGATTTGATCCAAACATAATATTAACTCGAATCCAAACTACTGAAAAACTTTAAGCCCACGTTATCAGTTTTGAAACAGAAAGTAATGTAGAACTTTGTTATTGCGATAAAACAAATACTCGGAGTTTATGATTATAATATTATTAAACGTGCATGATCTCATTAACCAAATGAGTCTGTTCATCACCTAACCTAGCAATCAAGAAAAGGAAATGATAAACTTCCTAATAAACCTGTTGAATACTAAAGTTTAATCTTTAAGAGCTCTGTTATTTTGCGGCAAAGATAAAAATCTTCTACATATACATTCCACCACCCTGAGTTAAAATCAAACAACTGTGTGAGCAAAGATGGATGGTAGCTAGCGGTGGAATCCAGGACGCGCGTTTCGTCCTATTTGGGACTCGTCAGTTGGATGTACCTGAATCCCAGAGTTGATATTCACCCCATTTCACAAGCTAGTGGTTATCTGGACTCAATAGCTAAGTGGATAACGTAATGAAGTTTGAAGTGAGTGGCACTGGGTTTGAGTCCCGAGTGAACATCAACTATGGGATGCAGGTACACCCAGCCGATAAGTCCCGAAAAGAACGAAACGCGTGTCCTGGATTGCACTGCTAGCCACCAACCATCTTTGAATATTATAATCATTTCAACTTACCACTACTTAATAATGCTGATATCATATAACCATCTAAGTCAATATCATCATATTCAAATATCGAAAATAAATGAGCATAATCATCGGCTAATTCTTTTATTCGATACACTTGTGATTCATATTCTTTAATGTTAATCATTGTATTTGTGTTTTGTTCAGTTCTATTTGTTGATGGTTTACCTGAATTATCAGTTGGTAGATTGATTGTAACGTTTGTTGACTTCTCGGTATATTTTGTTGATTTATCAGATTTTTTCAGTGTTCTGCCACGTTTATTACTTCGAGCATCGTCATAAACTTCTTGTATAATACTAGCTATTCTATAATTTTTTTTTAAAAAATTATGGTGTACACTGTTAATATGTATTTTAGAAATCTAATCGAATTAACACATAGAAACGCAGACTAAACAAAAGGAAAAAAAGTTTAAACATTCTCTCACTGATTAACCTGGTGAATGCCTGTACAAGATAATTAAGACTATTGTGTATATACTGAATAGCATTACTAAAAGTTGTTTGTTAGTTACGGAATGAATATTCAAAGATAAAAATAGATGACTTTCATAATGATACTATTTAGTTAATTTCTCTTTATTTCATTGAAATCGTGAACCAATCAAAGTCAGATCACTGATAAAAACCTGGAAGCAGTGAACGGCTGTTTCTTCCTGATATGGAATTCCCATTCTGACAATTTCTGTTTAAATTTGAAGTTTACACCTTATTTGTTAGTGCATAGGGTTAGTCTAAAATTTACGCCTTTCGTGAGATAAATTATTTACTGATGTCTTTATGATGAATCCGACTGATAATCCATAATGCTTAGTAAATGATATCTAGTTATATTTCACAAAAGTATGTAAATCTTTAATAAAGACATAGGTGAACAGTGATTATAGGACCATGTAGTCCTTGTAGGATGTAAAGGTCTTGAGTTCAGTCTCTGTTTGAAGTATCAAGGTGTGCAAATTTGTTAATTTTATTAAGGGACTATTCACTATTTACAAATCTCTAATAGATATAAACATCAAACAAAAATATTTTGCTCCACAGTTAGCTGTTTTTTAAGTGATTGGTTCTAGTTCTTGAGCATATGGGAACTGTACATAATAAGTACTTTCATCCAACTTGACTAATTTCAATAATGTAATATTGGTCACTTTGTCATTTACTCAGTGGTTGGTTTTTTTTACAGCTATTTAGATTTCTGATAATGCTACAATTCATGTTATCAGTTTTACATACTTTATGTTGTCCATGTTTCCAAGGGACTTAGTTTATGTTTTCAGATGTAAACACATTAAAATTTTGAGATTAACCGATTTGAAAGGTTTGCTTTTTCAGCTAAACGTTTCTTGGACTCATTCTAATGAAATGAGTAGTGTACTGAGTAGTTCAACGCTGGGTTAAAACATTTATTTAATAATTCTTATCCTTCGATGGTCGTTCAGAGACAAAGATTGTTATGCTAATTGAAGACTTCACCAATAACAGATATGTTAACTAAAGTATCTTATGAACGTCTGGGACCAAATTTTCATATCTAGGGATATTAAAAATATTATTTTTAACAGTTTTCAAAAGAAATTTCATGGAAAAACCCACTTATAATCAATTTCTTGATCTGTGAAAGTTTCTTCCAGTGTGTTCCTAAAACTCATAAAGTCTAGAACATTCGATAAGATATCAGCCACACCACCAGTACCCTATTTAATAAAATGTAAAATAAAATATATTTAAAGTCACTGATTTGATTATTTGACATCAAATTATTAAGAAGAATTAATTTAAATAGTTGAAATCGTGAGTCAATTGAAGCTAGACCACCACAGTAGGACAGAACGACCGTCCAGTGCATCCAGGTTTTTATAATGGTCTAGCTTCGATTGACTCATGATTTCAACTATTAAAATTACTATAATATCCACAAAATACCCCCTCTGATATTAATTAACATATGCTCACTAATGACTGGCTTCAGGAGGTATTACCTGGAGTTCTAGTCAGAAGCAGTGACCAGTAAAGCTCAACCGGGTCATTTGTGAGATAGTAAATTACTGAAGACAATGGTGGATATGTCGCTCAATTTCGTGGATCGGTTAAAGTTAGACATCTTTAGACACTGTTGGATGCCGACTCAGTGGTCTGGAGGTTAAGCATTCGCGCGCGTAACCGATAAATCCTGGGTTCGAATCACTGAGGAGTCCCATAATAGAACGAAACGGCCGTCCAATGCTTCCAGGTTTTCCAAGGTGGTCTAGCTTCATTGACTCATGATCTCAACTATTAAAAAATCTACTATAATATCCACAAAAAACCCCTCCTGATAAGAATAAACTTGTAAGAAAAAAACAATACAGATTTGGGAAAATTACAGCTAATGAGTCAGTCAGTCAGCTACAACGTAGGACCAACCACATATATGCATTGGTCCAAGTTGCCATACCTCATAAGCACAACAAGATCAACACAGGATTCATAGAAGTAGTTAATTTAATGATGGTAATATATAAAAGAAAGATTGCATATAAGGATATAGTACAGGAAGAAAGATTTAGTTGGTAAAATGAAAGATATGAAGCGTTTTTAACCTCTTAGTTTATGGGAAGACAGAGAGTGTATACACCTACGCCATTGTGATGGGTTCTGAGCCATTTCACCAAAAGTCTCCAACCATTGGTTACGATAGTCATGCGGACCCTAACCAAGTGAGTCTGTATCTACCAACATGGTTCAGGCCAGAAGTTAGTGATTTCAAGGACTGATACCAATTTTTGGTTTGGCCACAGCTAATGAGTTCATACATAAATACATATGAAAGTGACCAAAAGTATTATCATTTAAAATTATTTTAGGAAAATATCGAATTTCATACATAGGATTTCAAGTAAAACTCTCTATTTGACGTTCAAATAACATGCGGAAATTTACTATGCTCATTTTTCCATATTATCCCTACAAATGGTTTTGTTGGAATGTAATCAAGAATAAACTCAACAAAGTTTGACTGTTTTGTTTCCTTTTGATATTATCATCTTCAAATGGATTTAATAGATTTGTAGCTTAGTAATAATTTGAATGAATTCTATTCGTTATTGACAGATGATAAGTTTCACACTATGAATACTTCACATAGGATGTCCATTTTTTTTCGAGTAAATTTGCATCTGTAGAAAAGTGTTTACGTGTATGAATTCCTTTATGTATATACAAATTCAAATCTAAACTTAAAGACCCAAATTGATAATCATCATAATGTATTACCACAAGGAAAGTGATTCTTGGTTACAACGTAACAGTCACACTCATCTTATTGGTAAACGATATCATTAACTCTGATGATTGAATAAATCGATGCTAGTTTCACTAAGAAATAATGTATGTCCGATACGAAATTAAAACCAGGATACTACTTAGTGTTTGCATCTAGTTTGAAGAAGTGTCTGTGCTTGTATGGACCAGTTAATAAAAAAATGTTCGCTTGGTTTAATTATAAATAAAGAGTGGGATAAATGGATTTTGAAGCTAAAACCTACATGATATTTGTGGGACATTTTTACCAGATCTATTCTATCGATCAAGATGTCAAGTGGCCAATATTCTGAGTGATACAGCGTTAACTAGACTACGTTGAACTGTTGATCGGGTGGGGTTATTTGACAGTAAACCATTGACCTAAGTTTCGTGACACTTGGTCCCTATTAGCCAGGTGCACCACCCCTCACTGTTAAGAGAGACCATGCTTCATGTGTGATTCTAATGTGCATCACCCTATTCCATAGTCCGAGACATTACTGCTGAGCTATTTGGGACACAACCAATCACCTTTAGTATTGAAATAGCTAGACTGACTGATAACCAATTAGTGATCAATGTCATATCTGTTAAATCATTAAGTGTAGTTTAATAATCATCAAACGAATTGCAGTTTGGCCTCTAGTTTCAAAGACTTAATACGTTATGAACTACTGTGAGATGTCAAATGGTTGAAGGCAAAGAAAATTAATTCCACCCTACAATTAATTTATCCTGATTTATTTCTTATTTATTCTTAAAATATACACAAATGACTAAATAATTAACAATATGCCCATGCAAATCATTTTGCTGAAATTGTAATTCTTGCATACTAATTCAGAATGATTTTCGACTGACTAAATGATCTAATTTTATCTATTCAGTAACCCTAGCTCAAGCGGTGCATAATTGACTAATATATCTGCTAAGCATGATCTGTAAACATCGGATAACAACTATATATTCATCATTCAACTTGCATTAATGTATCACCATCATCAGAACTTATCTCCTATGATTAGTATAAAAGAATTTATAGAGATCATAGAATTTTTAGCTCATAATTGAACTGATAATCTACTCACAAAAAATTAATTCCATCAAAATTGCAATCCAGTACATTTTTAATCAATTATTAGCTGAATAGATAAATATTATTAGGGGATTGGAAGTGCTATCACACAATATACAATCAAGTTAGTTCGACTACTGACCGATAAAAAAGCTTACATATGTTCAACTCATTGAATTCTGATATCTATGTGTAGGTGTATGTGACTAGGATTTAGTGATATAATGTGACCTCAATACAAGATCAAATGATTTCATGTTTCGTCATATTATAGTTTCTCAGTAGTTATTAATCACATTCACTCTATAATGTCTTTTATTTTAACTTCTCTTTAAGGTATTCTATTTTGCTTATAGTCAGTAAATGCTCTTAACACCTGAATACAGATTATAAGAAACTAATCTACCCTGATCAAGCAACTTGTCACAAAAAATAATGAGTATGTAAGTTTTCAGACAGATCAAAGCTCCAAATCAGTCGGAAAAAATCTATTGAATAATAAGTGTTTTTGATCAGTCAGTCAGTCTGTAACAATGTAGAACTTCGTACGTACGTACATCAGTTCAAATTGCCACACCACATTAACACAGAGATGCAGTTATTGACTCGAATTCCGTAGTGGTAGAGGTAGTAAGAGTATAAGTAGTAATCCGAAAGATCAGGGCTTGAAGATGTTATTCAAAGAGTATAATACAGTGAAATAAATTTGGAAAGAGGAAAAAAAGGGACATGAAGAATTCAGAAGATTAGAATTTGGGAGAACACAAAGAGTGGATGCACCTGCGCCATTGCAAACGATTTTGAGCCATGTTATTCATGGTCTCTAATCATCGGTTACTATCATCTCGCGGTCCCCAACCAGGTAGTTTACACCTATTATCCTTACCTAGTACCTGTTTCCTAACAACTGCATTACTTATTCGATGGTCCCAGGATATACGAGCAATATTTCGAAGACACCTATGATCAAATGCCAGTAACCTACGAATAACCTCTACTCTTACCGGCCATGTTTCACTGCCATAGAGTAGGACGGAACGGACTGCTGCGCGGTAAACAAGTCCTTTGCTTGATAGACGGATATCTCGCCTACGCCATAAATCACGCAGGTTGGTAAAAGCTAGTCGAGCCTTCTGTATCCGTGCTGAGATTTCGTCACACACCAGACCACAAGGGCTGATGAGACTTCCAAGATAAGTGAAGCGATCGACACGCTCAATTACTTCACTCCCTATCATTAGTTCGGGTGTCGATGCCACCCAATCCTGAAGCAACTTTTTGCATTTCGACGGGGAGAACCGCATCTCAAACATGCTTGCATTGTTGAGTAATTTTGATAGTTGCTTAGTCCTACATGACTAACTTCTTTAAGTTAAACACTAAAAAACCTATTGGAGTATTAGAAATAAAACACTGACAATGTCTAAATGAAATTTAATCTAGTGGTTTAGATTTATAAAATTACAATGCATCGTGATTTATATTATGAAATACGGTATGTAATTTGCATTATAGAGAACTCAGTTTAAATAAGACTACATCAATCATTTTAAAATCTGATACTGAGAAGTATGTTATATTACATCTGGAGAACATTGAAGTAGGTCAACTTATAAATACCAATTTCATCAAAATAATTATCTTTGTAAGGTGATTATCTTAAACGCTCCAGTATGTGAAATTGATTCATTTTCATCGGCAACGACATATATCATAACTTACTCGAACAAGTACCATTGGACAACGATTCAATGTCACTGAAGCATAAATTTGATCTAATGTAGCAGTATTTCCACCTCCAACTATTCCACATATTGGAACTCTAGCAGTCGTTTGACTAGTTGAATTAAGTTCATCCTGTGATATATTCTGTAATATATTGATTTCTTTATCAACCAATTGATTTTCATTTAACTCATTCTTTTGAAATAAATCTTTAACTCCTGTTTTCTTCTCAATTTGTGAACGTGTATACAAGTGACTTTGTCGTCTAATTGTTTGACCTATAAGACCATCAGCTAATGATGGAAGTGTAGCAGATGGTCTTGGAGTAACGGTTATAATTGGAAGGAGAGATTCTTCTGTGCCTTTAAATTTTTGTTCCTTAAATGAATAATTTTGGAAGAATAAAACAAAAAATCACTGTAATATCTAAGTGGATTGTTGTTTATGATAACTGGCTTTTAACTAAATAGGTAATGGGATCGAACCCTGTTGCACAAAATTTTGTTTAGGCAACCAACTCTTCATATGAGAAATGTTGTTAGTACTTAGTAAATAAAAAGATTTAAAATAAGTAGGTTTTTTGGTGAAAATGTAGGGAAAATTTAACCATGCTACAGTTCGGCCAATACTTTAAAGTGTTCGCATATGGATGCTTAGAGAAAGTACGTTGTAAATGAAAATATAGGTTGATATTATAACTAGGATATTGAGCTGTAGTAACTAGAGTATTTGTTCCGAAAAACAATACAATGTTTACACCACATACTGAAATCTTTCTTGTAATTGACCTCTTTTTCCATCGACTACTTATCTTCACTTTTCATGTCAAAGTTATCTATCTTCCTATACATATATACCGTTTATTTATAGAACGTAGATGCTTTCCTACAAAATCAGTATTCTATTCATGAAATCACAAATTATAGTCCATTGTAATACATTATTACACTTTTAACAGTAAAAATCAAATTCAGTGTTTGCAACTGCTTAACAAGCCATAAGAGTAGCTTCAATATATACCTCATTTCATTTCATATTTCAACTGATTCCACAATCAGAGATAAAATTACTTGACGGAATCAAAGCGCTCATTTGAAATGAATTATAATGGAACATGATTTAGTAATGTGTGTTGATAATTTTTAAACCTGAATTAAAGTTTTATCACAGATATTTTTACAAAACAATAATTTTGAACTGAACATCATTCTGGTACAGCCAAGTCATTTAGGTGGTTGGAGTTATTCAACAAAAAACCTGTTTAACCCTGATGTCGTAGTACTTGACACTAGATAATGATGAGTATCTACAATCTTGAAAGAACTGATACACCACGTGAGACTCAAACATGTGTCATCCAATATCATAGTCTCAGACGCTACGATTATGTTATTCGTCTTTTTATGGCACTTCATCTGACTCCAGTAGGATCGTAGGATATTTGTCGTCAAAGTGCACGTCGCAGCTACCCTCGTATACAATTATCGACTCAATTCGCGTTAGAGAACAATGGAATAAAATACGAGGATGAAGTTTGAATACATATATTTTATACGCTCACTGATCTGAACACACGATTAGCGAGACGAATCGACAGAAGCAAAAAGGAGATAGCGAAGCCAAATGAAATAATGCGCAGTAGAGAATAAGAGTGAATTAACTCGATTCAACGAAGCATGACTCAATATTTATAGTGAGATCAAAAATAAGTTACAGACATGTAGGAAGTGGGATAAGCAATTAACGCACAGTTGAATAAAAATAGTTAGGGTTAATAAACGAATAAGTGACAAGGTCATAATGTGGCTTGAGATGAATGAACAAATTGGCCCGTTCAAAGCTAGAGTAACCTATGTGGGCTTGACGTATCAGCCACGACAGTCTCACGACTGACCTTCTATACAATTAAAGTAATTAAAACTGATTAATGGTTCAATAATGATCAGCATTATGTTTGTCTAATCTTTTAGTGCTGATCGAGCTTCATCGATCAATTAAGTCTGGTGATTTACGTGAAATAAAGGACCGATAGGCCCTGGGTTCGAACCCCGCCGGCGGGATCATGGATGAGCATTGCTGAGGAGTCCTATGATGGGACAAAGTGGCCGTCAAGTGCTCCCACGCATTCCACCATGATCTAGCTTTAATTGACTGATGGATTCAACTATTAAATTACTAGAATTTTCACAAAACCTTGTGTCTAAGAATAAAAAAAGCAGTATCAAATAATCTTTTTATCATAGTAATAATGAGTACCGAATTTCAGTTTTACTTACTTTTTTCCTTAACTTTTTATTTTTACTTAATATCGACTGGCTACTGGTCTTTGCTGAACCACTACCCTCACATGTGGAACGTGAAGATGGCTAAAATGTAATAATAATAATAATAATAATAATAATAATAATAAGTAAAATGTCTATATACTTTCGAAACAGTAATATAAGTGTGGCGTGTGCTACTTATATCGACATAAGTAGTATATGATGTTAGTTGTGAACAGAATGTCTGGCAGCAAAGAGACAAGAGAATCGAACAGTAAAGAATGGAAACAGTATGTAATTTGTATGAAAATGAAAGAACAATGTAATCTGAGTCATTTTGAGACAATCGATGGACATTTTGCAAATTAAGCACTTACTTTATGATTGTTAGATTTTATTAACAAGTCCTGTAATTTTGTGTTAAATAAATTCGATTGTCCCCACTGATGTCCTGTTCACTACATAAGTAGTATTTGGCCAGCTGAATAAAGTCTGTAGATAAAAATAGACTTTATAACCTCCTTAATTCTCTAAGTCAATTTATTCACCAATCGTGTAAACAATGTGAAATATTATTCCTATTTTAACTACCTTAATATATCCTTCTATATCATTACTTATAATAAGTCACTTTAATAAAAACTGATAATTTGTCACAATGTTACACTCGAGCTAAATAAGCTCAGCGGTTGGAATATATTATCTACTATCTACCCTTTGTCCGAACAAGATATGATTACATAATGTGATTCATGGGTTTAAGGGAGTAATACTAACGATCTCTCCCTCTATCTCTCTCTTCTCTCTCTCTCTCTCTCTCTATATATATATATATATATATATATATATATATATATATCATTTTCTCTGACTACTGATGATATAGACCAGATAATAGATGAACCTTCCATTCAAATGAATGAAAATCTATCTATATATTGTCTATAAATATTAGTATTTGGTCTATGAATGTGGAAAATTAATATTTAGCATAGATATCACTCTTTATATACAATTCAACTCAACGCAAAGTTGCAATGAAGAAATGATTGAATGGTCTATACTGAACTGTCCTACGATTGGATAAATTGTTAACTAAAGTGATTTTGATCACGTGGCCTGCTTGGACATCCAGGCTACCTGTTCCTGCCATCTAAATATTTCAACAAGTTATTTAATTTTGTTTGTTTTAATACATCATTATGTCTATTAATTGCATAACCTATTCAGGTACGTTTCTGATGTCAATATTCAGCGAAAAGAATGTACATTCTTTAGATGTCGATTTACTAGACTGCCAACATCTAACTGGTGATCGATCAATATTTATCGTCAGGATCGACAAAGAAATAAGAGATGGAAACTTGTTGAAATACTTTATGCTGAGAATTCTGTATTGTATCAAAAATATAATATTGAATAAAGCTAATAATGATAATTGGCCAGTGATTTATACTGTTCATTTTTAGTCTAGTCACTTTTTAACAGATGAAAGGCTTTATGAAAACGGTTTATTCCGTACGAACTGATAAAAAATGAAACATCATGATACTCTTGACATGGATAGCTTTTAATGATTATTCCATGGTCGTCTAGCTTCAATTGACTCGTGATTTCAATCAGTGAAAATTTCTAAAATCTCCAAAAAACTCCTCTCATAATAATCATCTGCTCACTAGTGACTGACTTCAAGAGGCATTTCAAGGAGTTCTAGTGAGAAGCCGTTACCAGTGGAGTCCAACCAGGTTTGTTGTGAGATATCAGCTCACTGAAGACAATGGTGTACGGTGGCGCTACTTCGTGGACTGGTTGAAGTTAAACACTAATACCGTTGGATGCCGGCTCAGTGGTCCAGTTGGTTAAGCGCCTGGCACGAGACTCATAGGCCCTGGGCTCGGATCTCTCGGGGTACGGGACCGTGCACGCGCACTGCCGAGGAGTCCCATACTAGGACGAAACGGCTGTCCAGTGCTTTTAGGTTTTACATGGTGGTCTAGCTTCAATTGACTCATGATTTCAATCAGTAAAAATTTCTTAAATCTCCACAAAACCCGTTCTGATATTACACAATATCAAAATTCGATTATTCAAAAGTAATTTACCGATCGAGATCCTTAAATTTTCTAGGCTTATAGCTCAGGAACGTTGTACGTGTACACTATTGTAAAGTTCCAAAACAGAGTGATATATTTATCTAATATGTTTTATTATCAGTAATATTCTTAATGATGTCAATTCACAATAAAAACATACTATAAATTATTCGGTTTAATAAATCATTGAATAAACCTAGTAATAATCAATTTTCTTCACATACTTTTGCCCATGTTATTATAGTACGTTCTAACATAATACGAGTTTCTAATAGTCGATCTTCCAATGTTTGCTCTTGTTTAAGTATTGGATCAATAAGTATTAAAAATTGATGATTTGAATTTAAACGATACGTTTTTGTTTTAGTCAGTGATTTATTAGATAATTTAATTACAGAACTATCAATTTGTTGACCGGATTCATTGAATTGCCATAGATCTGCTTCCATTGAAGTAGTTGCTGTATTAGTAATATCATCGGTTTCTTCATCAGATAAAGGATCTGGATATAATACATTTGAAGAAATATCTTTACTCCTTACCTAAAATTAATTTAAAAAAAAGGAATAATCACTATTGCTTTTTTTTCTGAAACGAAAACTTATACTCATTGATCATGAATAAAGAATGAGCAAATATTAAAATAACGGCGAGACTGTAGTTTATGCATGAACCAATCAGATATAAGATAACGAGTCTTGAATTTTGGAGCGAAATTCATTTACCCATTTGTCTAAATAGAGTTTTGGCACTTTAGCTGATGTTCATTCGTAATGAAAACCCTAAATCAAATTCCTAACCCCAACCACTAATTGTAAATCATAATCTTTATTCTTCACACAGTTTTATAACTCTCATTTGTCTCTAGTAATTAGGTGGACATTCGTTAGATCATAAAGGCATCATGTGTTAACTGTTTTTAAACTCAGACGTCAAGCCAAGGTAATGTGATTAATTTGACTAGCACAGTTTGTGAGAAGGATGGTAATACTAGTTGGCTATATACAGTAAAACAAATAGATTCGCCTACGTCTTACTGGTTATAGGCTGAGTACATTAGTCACTAAGCTATCAATACATAAATATCCAAATAACATTGTTAGAATCATCAAGAGGAATATTATTAACAGTTATCAATAATTTCAACTTACATTATGATTAGCTAAATCAAATAATTCTTGATAAGTCACTCGTTCAGTATGCGCAACACCAACCATTATCATATGATCATTTCCATAAGCTTCAGTGTAATCACGTACCGCTTCACCTGCAACTTTCGTCATACCATGATCAAAACCATCAGTTATAATCCAACATCCTGAATGTAATGAAATTTACCGAAATATATATGCGCAATAAGATGATGACCTTAATTTATTTACTTACAAAACTATTCATAGACAAATTAACATTGAAAAGAAAGTCAAAGGAGAATACAAAAAAATTATAGTTAATCTAAGTTAGTAGATGTATATACAAAACTAAAAATTAAAGCCCATAAAATGTACTTAACATATTTTAGTAAATATCAAAGGTAGCACATTGCACATCACATCTCCGTCCTCAATCATTGAATTTATTCCAGAAGAATAGATGAAATTTCTGAGAAGTATTCACTGATTCATATTGATGGTTTGGTGTACGATAAATTTCTAGAAACTTTGGTATAAATATGTCACATTGGGAAGTTAATTGGACTAAAATTATTGAGGAATGTCGACCAGTGAAGTTATATAATGTCAACGTCACATTAGTTATTAAGAAAAAAAGACACTGACTGCATAGTCACATTCCCGTCATGATGTTTGTATGCTATTGTGGTGTGTGCTACTGATGTCGTAGTAGTGTGTATCATCATTTAAAAAAGAAATACGTGGTGGCAGAAGGTCAAGTTCTTAAAGAAGAAAACGGGAACAGAGAATGATTGGTGTGTAAACGAAGGAACGATGAGGTCTGAGACGATTGACTGATATTTTTTAAATGAAGTATCCACTGTATGGTTCACAAATCTTATTAAGGGGTTCTGTAATTTTGTATTTCAATACATTCGATTGTCCCCTGTTGTGTTCTCGTTCACTACACTATGAATTTAAAGTCACTGTAATCTGTGAATCTTTTTTGTCAAGAAATACTATACAATTAACTTTCTTGATAAGTTTAGATAGTGCAACCAAATGACTTTATTATTTATTTATTTATTTATTTCAACACAAATATTGGTACAAAGAGGCACCGAATACATATGTGCTACACACGTTACTTGGTTTGTGTGTGGGCTGTGATATTGACCGGGTGCCCTGACTGAAGCAGGTAGTTTTCTTAGAGGGCAACATTCGGAGCCTTTGACCTAAAGGTCTTATCCACAAGGTAGTGGAGCAACGTCAAGAGATGCAGTCCCATGGTAACCGGTGACCAAAGATTGGTCCATACGCCATTTATTCGCTCCGGTTCCTAGAACGCATGTACACCATTGGTTCGGAATGAGGGTTTTCCAACTCCCCTAGGTGGATCCCTTATATCCACCGACCCGGTTAATGCACCGAATATTCGCTTTTTGTCCTTTCACTTTCGTAAACAACACCTCTGCCGCGAGAAGGCAGTGAGTAGGACTTCCCTGACTCTTTTCTCTTTATTACTGATCATTAAATATTTCAAAGTATAAACTTGGTTTCCTATAAGAAGTGCTAATCATGCTCTTTTCTAAAATTATTCAACCCGATTGCTGCAAGATTAGAGTTTCCAAGGTTTAATCCTTGACAAGGTTTTGAATATCAAGTACAAACGAGTCACATGCTAGGATGAAACAAATGTCAAATGCATCCCGTTAAAAAAGCTATTGCAGTAAATATTCATTATCATGTTCATAGTATATCTTCTGGTATAAAATCCATCACTGACCTGAACCTTCAGCTGCTTTCCATAAACCCTTTTTCAGTGTGTTCTTAAAACGTTTAGTTAATTCAGCATGTGAACTAAGAATACTGATAATTAATGTTGGTGGTTTCAAATTCCATTTTTCAGTTAAAATACGCTTCCATTGATCTTGAGTGTTCCGTTGATCTGTACGAACATACTATTGAAAAAGGCAAAAATACGTCATATATATTTAAAGTGTGTACCTCGTGATGAATATTTAAGTTTCTAACGGTTTTTAGAGTTAAGATCATTTCATGATGTAAACTATGAAATTCGGTGGCGGATCTGGTAGCTCAGTGGTAACGTCTCTGACTGTGAAGCTGGGTGACACGAGATCGAAGCTGTCAGGGGGCACCAGTTCCCTCAAGATTACAGGTACACCTTGCTGACGAGTGCCAAGTAGCACGAAACCCGTGTCCAGAGTTTCCTGTCGACTAACTCCAACCACCATCTGAAACTAAACTATTTATACAAACTCTAAATTTTACTTATTGGTCAGCTTCCACAATTATTCACTGATTAATATAAATTATGAAAAATCAATTTTCTGTAATCACTGAAAACCACTTTTTTTCAGCACATCATATCAAGAAAGGTTTATTACATTTAAATTTTAATAACTTTTATTGTTGCTAATTATATTATAAGTATCACTATAATGAATAGCGAAAATCATGTCAGCGATCACATCAAAATAATTCACAATTGATTAATCACTGTGTAGTGATTAATGTCATGACTATCAGGTCATTCTTAGTGTAGATCGAATACTATCAACTAAGTTGCAATGTGGCCATTAGTCTAGGTAACTCAACATTGATTGATCGCCGCCCAGTGGTAACATCTCTGACTGTGAAGCTGGATAATACGGGATCTAATCCCTCAAGATTACAGGTACACCTTGCTTACGATTGCCAAATAACACGAACTACGGGTCCTAGACTTCTTGTTGACTACCATCAACCACCATCTTATCACATCAAAATCATAATTGTACTATTCGTACACTAATAATATTATAGTTTAAGATTGAAACATTCAATTATTATTATCATTCTTATTTTGCTTTACATCTATAAACATAGAATAATCTGTATGAAAATTTGTTAATTTTTGCAAACAAGTAAAAGATATCACTATGCATAGGGAAATAAGTCTCTGAAAAAGAAAAGGAAAAAACAAACAAACAAGCCAAACAAACCCCAATGTAATTATCATTAACCTTATATAATTAACTAGTAGTATATTCATTACATTCACAAATTTTTACAAGCTTAATCAATAATGAAAACAGACAAATAAACCCATAATTTCAATCTTCTTTGCTTCTCTCTATCTAACTCCATCTCTCTTGCTGTCGACACTAGTCAATATTATATGTAGTCAATTTCTTTACAAATGAATAAGAGAAATAAAAATACACAATATTCAATTGTATAAGACCAATGTTGAAATAACTTCGTAACAAAAATTTCCTGAATTATTTATTAACGGTGGATTAAACCTTTATACACAAATATACACACGTACATATATATGTAATATGCACTACTATCTGTAATACACTGCAATATTATGTCTACATATATATACATATACATATATCTCTGTATAACAGTCCGGAAGTTGTAATCAGAATAGTAAATCTGATTTCCTGTATAAACTACCTCTATTCATTTGAGTTCATTATTGAGTAAGTGAATTTTTTTAAAAAAGTAAAAAAAAATAAAGAAACTTTAGGGCGTTAACTACTAAATATTTTTTTAATGTTGGATACTTTATTTTTTAAACAAAAAAAAAGAGAAAGAAACCAAAGCTTACTGTAACATAAAATATGATTATTGTTATGATTATTTATGTATATACATAGATATTCTATATTCTGTAAGATTAAAATTTGAAGAAACCGCTTTATATTTATTTAAATGTTTAGAAATAATTAAGAAGAATATTGAATGTTAAATATAATTATCATAATCCAACTGACAACAAATATGACCTGGAATATGCTGATGACATAGTTTTATTTGGTGAAGACGCTGACAAAATGCAGAGTCTTCTGACCACTCTAAGCAACAATGCAAGCATGTTTGAGATGCGATTCTCCCCGTCGAAATGCAAAAGTTGCTTCAGGATTGGGTTGCATCGACACCCGAACTAATGATAGGGAGTGAAGTAATTGAGCGTGTCGATCGCTTCACTTATCTTGGAAGTCTCATCAGCCCTTGTAGTCTGGTGTGTGACGAAATCTCAGCACGCATACAGAAGGCTCGACTAGCTTTTACCAACTTGCGTGATTTATGGCGTAGGCGAGATATCCGTCTATCAACCAAAGGACGTGTTTACTGCGCAGCAGACCGTTCCGTTCTACATTATGGCAGTGAAACATGGCCGGTAAGAGTAGAGGATATTCGTAGGTTACTAGTATTCGATCATAGGTGTCTTCGAAATATTGCTCGTATATCCTGGGACCATCGAGTAAGTAACGCAGTTGTTAGGAAACGGGTACTAGGTAAGGATGGCAAATCAATTGATGACGTAGTAAAACTTCATCAGTTGAGATGGCTTGGACATGTGTTACGTATGCCCAACGACCGACTGCCTCGACGTGCGATGTTCAGTGGTATAGGAGTAGGTTGGAAGAAAGCTAGGGGCGGCCAGACCAAAACATGGCACAAGTCCATGAAGTCACTGACAAGTGAACTGAGTCATATCGGTAGGTGTAGACTACTTGGTTGGGGACCGCGAGATGATAGCAACCGATGATTAGAAACCCTGAATGACATGGCTCAAAATCGTTTGCAATGGCGCAGGTGCATCCACTCTTTGTGTTCTCCCAAATTTGATCTCCTTATTCCTCCTTGTCTCTTTTTTCTCTTTCCAAATTTATTTCACCGTATTATACTCCTTGAATAACATCCCCAAACACTAATCTTCCCGATTACTGCTTATACTCTTATTACCTCTACTACTACGGGATTTGAATCGACCACTGCATCTCTATGCTAATGTGGTGTGGCAACTCAAAATGATGTACGTACGTACGAAGTTCTACGTTGTTACTGACTGACTGATGATGTTGTTGTTATTTAACTTGACAAGGATTTATTTTATAAAGATTTACTATTATTATATATGAGTACGAAAATGTAAATTCCCTAAAACTTCGACCAATATAACTCGTTCCACGGGAGCAGTCGGACTGATAAATAGAAAATAAGGTGGTCATTCTAGGTAATTGATTTTTTTAGCCTCGGTTGTCATCATTGGACGCGTAGAAAACACTAATCACAGTTCTCCGACGTTAAAAGATTTTTGTACTGTCCTACGTAATCTCTGAGTTAATATTTCACTAGCCGCATTCCCTCTGAATTGTAGACGTATAACAGTGATTTCTTCTTCACCGTTTACATTTTACCTATTTACACCTTTGTGATCATATATTTAATTATAAACTTTCTCGGTAATCTTCTGTTGTGAACACCTCCCAGCGTGGCTAAACAAACACATGATGAAGAAAGTGAACAGCTCGATATTGGCACATTTAGTACAAAATGGTCATAGTGCCAGTATAAACCAATCTTTTGCAATTATTTATAAGGTCAGTAATTTTTGCCAAAAATTGTCAGACTTAAAGTCCTTTAAACGGCTGAAGCAGTAGCCATCCGGATGAAAAAATTGGAGCTATGTGTATAGAAGAAATATCTTCAACCACTCCTCCTCCCCTGGCTAACATCAAGGCCAATTAATCAATCGTAATCTTAGCTATGGAATGACCTTTCGTAGTCAATTGTAATTGTCTCTGTTATCTTTATTCACAAATCTTTGTATTATTATTATTATTACTGGTTAAACATCATTATTAATCTCCCCTATACATGATTCATTCACTTTGCATTTATCTCTCCTTATTACGTTTTACTAATTTTTCACTAGTTGAAATCATGAGCCGGCATCCAACGGTGTTAATGTTTAACTTCAACCAATCCACGAAGTTGCGCCACCGTACACCGTTGTCTTCAGTGAGCTGATATCTCACAACAAACCCGGTTGGACTCCACTGGTAACGGCTTCTCACTAGAACTCCTTGAAATGCCTCTTGAAGTCAGTCACTAATGAGCAGGTGATTATTATGAGGAGTTTTTTGGAAATTTTAGAAATTTCACTAGTTGAATTCATGAGTCTAAAATCTCCACAAAACCCCTTCTCTTATTAATTTTTCACACAATATAGCTTTTCACTAAACAGATGACCGGATTGTAATTGTACTATTATTTTCTCACTCTATCTGACCCATATTTATTCTGATCATGGATCTTAAATTCCACTTAATACATACGCAGATTCAAGTTAACATTCTATCTGAGTCATATCAAAAGGAACAATTTTGTTCTATTTTGTTTAACAATCCTAAATTCACATACTTTAAACGATATACGTTGCCTTTAACCTGGCTATTTTTTTCGGATTATTAATTTGGATATATGAATTGTAGAACCTGAAGAGAATTGATCGAAAAGAATATTCTTCGTTCAAATACTAGTCTTTTAATATGATGGGGATCTTTAAACTATTATAAGCATTTATTTTACAAAGATTTACTATTATTAAGTACTGACAAAGTTCAGTTCACTTTTGAAGGTGAATACTTTCGTCAGATTGATGGGTAGTCCGCTACGATCACTATAAGCCGATGTGTTCATGGCACATGTTGAAAATCTGGCTGATGACTTAATCGAAAACATGTCACTTTATAAAAGATATGTGGACGATATCTTAGTTGTTTGTGAAAGAAATGAGGATATGTACTGTTTATTGAATAAATTTAACAATCTCTAAAACCATATCATGTGAAGAGGAGAAGAACAATCGGCTTCCCTTCTTAGATATACTTCTAATTAGACGAGAAAGTAGCTCAATCAAACGATCCATTTTTAGAAAACCAACGTGGATAGGTCAATACCTTACTTATTATAGTTATTGCCCCGTGCAATACAAACGGGGTTCGATAAGGTGCCTATTCAATAGGCTTGATCGTATTTGTACACATGACGCCATTAATGACAACGTTAGGTTGCTAAATAAAACATTAATGGAAAGTGGCTATCCTCTGAAATTCGTAAACAGATGGAAAGTTCATGGTATAGTGAGACATAC